AAGAAATGCACCAGGGGTGCCTGTGTCTGCTTCAGTCCTGGCTTTCTTTGGCCAGTATATGGGCAGGGTCGGCTGAGAAAGTCCCTTCGAACCTGAACAGGATAATGCCTGCGTAGGGAGTGTGCACTTTTGTGTTTTGTGTTTTCACAGGGACAGAGTTTCCATCCATGGTTAATGGCTAGCTGATCCATGTGGAGCAGCTTCATCTTGCACCTTATAATGAGCACCCCCTCCTAGTCGTCATCCAATCCAAACCTTATCTCAAGTCCCAACTATATGAGGTTGGCTACATGAATCTTGTTTCACCACTCTGTTTTATATAATTCCACTCATCCATCTTAGCATATATATTTCTGCCACACTCATTTTCTGGATAATGTTGGCCTTACAATAGTTGTCCTTACAATAGAATTTTCCCGTTAATCTATGTGGTCTTCACCTATCTTATAAAACTCCAGTTAACCCCTCCATTTTGCCCATCATACTATGATTCTATGGGTGCATCCTCTTCAATCTCTCCCTTGTTTTGGCCAACTAAAAACAGCCAATAATTCCACTTCGGGCTCGAGCTCGGGCTTCAGGCTTTTTATCAGGGCCGGGCTCGGTCTCGGGCCTAACATTTTTCTGTTAATAAAGAGTCAAAGCTCGGCCCGACCCGGCCCATGAACAGGTCTATCCACTGGTACCACCATCTACTCCGCCTATACCACCAGTTTTGGTAGTTATTACCTCTCCTCCGTCGGGTAATGGTGCCATAGGAGTAATAGTTTATCCTCTGCCCAACAGTTGCTACACTGTCTCACCACCTCCCAACCCCTCCTTCTTCAGGCTTGGTCCAACTCCATTTGGTTGAAGACTTCATTTTATTTTTCTCAATTGGTCTCTCATCTGTCATTCATTGCTTTCTTTTCGGAGATAGAAACAAAACTCATAAATAATAGAGTAAATTACAAAGACCCCCCTTGTACTATGGGGTCTGTGACAAAGACCCCCCCTGTACTTTGTTTTGCAACAAAGACCCCCTGTATTATGACCGTGAGACAAAGAACCCCTTCCCCATTAACTCCACTAACAGAAAATGCCTTTTTATGAAAATACCCTCCATAACTCGAATTCACATTTTCAAAATGTCTAAAATAGACACCCACTGGAAAAAAAAAAAAACCTCGTGTAAAACTCTGCCTAAAACTAAACACTTCCTGAAACCCAACCGAAACCCTTTGTGTAATCCATCCCAGTGTCCTTTGTCGGAGATCGCACCAATGCTTCACCGAATGTAGAGGAAAGCAATTGTCATCATTGCCAAAAAAGATCTTATCGCCGTCACCAGAGAAGAAAATCGTCGTTGCCAGAGAAGATATATTTTTGTCGTTGCCGGAGAAGGCCTCTTTTCGCTGTCGCAGGGAGAAATCTTATTTTTTCGTCGTCTCTAGTCAAGTGTAGGTTTATTGTCCGTAAACCTTGGAGAAATCTTATTCACGGAGATATCGAACTCAACCATGTTTGAAAGCTTACCAATTCCATCACTGAGCGACCCAGAGAGTATGCTTTCCTGAAGGTACAACCGGCTCAACTTTTGCAGTGAAAATAAATCATTGGGCAAACTCCCAGAAAGATAATTCGAGCTGAGACTGAGATTCTGCAAAGAAGCACAATTACCGAAACCTGTGGGATACTTCCATTGAAATAGTTCATGGAGAGATCAATGGATTGAATTTGAGTGGCAGTAATGTCACCCTTCAATGAAATTCCCACACAGGTCGAGAACGTTGAGGGAGGGTAGATCAATATCAACCGGCATCAAGCCATACAAGTCATTATAACTTAAGTCCAGCTCCCGTAAACTCCACAAATGGAACAGTTTGGGTGGAAGAGTACCTCTGAGCAAATTGTTAGAAAGATTCAGAGATTGCAGCTGATCCAAACCAGCCAAGTTCTCGGATAATTTACCTTTCAATCTTCTAATCCCAAGATCCAATTTTACTATCCTTTCTTCAGAACTCGTCGAACTCCTCACCTCCTCGCGCCGAACGCCAACCTAGTCACAACAACCACTTCTAATATTAATCACTCACCGAAGTAGGAGCTTGTGACTGAAACTAGGAGCTTGGTCACGAATTGATTGCAAAATGGTGAGAAAACATATAACTCAAAAGAGGGTTAAAAGTGTCTGAAATGTTATTATAAGGGTAGTATTGGAATTAAATAAAATTGTAATGGTGGATTTTGAACAGAATGCTAATGGAAGGGGGTCTTTGTCTCACGGTCATAGTACAGGGAGGGTCATTATCACAGACCCCATAGTACAAGGGGGGCATTTTGTAATTTACCCTAAATAATAATTAGATTAGACTTGTAGGTGTACAATTTGGCACAATGGAAAGGAACTTGGGAGTATCAAATTGTTTCTATACAAGCATTTTGGTTTGATAGTGAGATCGATATTGAATTATTTGTTCTTTTTACAAAGTTATTATCTTTTCTTTTTTATTTTAAAAATGTAAATTAAGATGGTTCTTTTTTTTTTTTGTTTGTTTGGAAATATTGAAAAGTTTATGATGGTGGGATGATGGTTCTGAGAAACAAAATAGAATGAGGATTTGAGGATACTCCAATTCACCAACCATGTGTTGTGGGTTGTGGAAATTAACAGCAGAAAACCGTAATGGTGAATAGAACGGTGGTTTTGGGAAATCAAAAGAGTCAAAAGTTCCCAATGAAGAATAGTGGGAGAAGCAACGGTTGTAGTAATCTAACAGAACAAAGAACACCAACTTAATAAATCTTTTAAAAGGGACCGATTTTATGTTTTAGTAGATTACATGGAGTGGTTGAATTCAAAACTAAAATCACGATATGTCTCATTGGAAATAATTTCTATGTCACCTGTCCGGTAGGAAACAAAAAGGGCGGTACTGGTGAGGATAAAGGGTTTGTTGGTGAAAACATAAAGAAGATGACCCCTATTAGTGTTATCCTTCACAAATTTTGTTTCTCACGGCTGGGCTAGATGGTCAAAACTTCTTTTTTATGACTCAATTTCTAAAATAATTAAATAAATGAAACCAACATTTTGAAACATCTGTTAAATTGTTCGCACATGTGCCGTAGTATGTTTGGATGTACAGAAAGTTGTGTAAAATGGACTGTGAGGAGATCTGGACTCCACTTTGACACCATTCTACAACTGGATCTGGGTATGGCCGTATGGGAGAACGCCGCCAAAGTATGGTCATTCCTCCTGCATACGGTGTATTAGCCTGTATAAATTTTAACAGGGCTTAGACTTGATGTTCTCCAACAAATGATATCCCGGCTTACCACCACCATGTATTGGGTTCAAATTAAGGAGAGGGCTACCTGATAGAAGATCTGGATCTGCTCCCCACACTAATCCCGTAGCACATTACAGTTGAAAATCGGTAACATCTCCCCTACTTGTATGTGCTGTCATTCATTGAGAGATGTTTTCAATGCTTGGCCACAATGTGTTGTGGGGTTGACGCAGGGAGTGCTCTGTGGGGAGCAAATCTGAGTTCCCTACGAAAAAGGAGCAGAGTGAAGATCGCTAAAGAGAATGTGCTATCATCAGAGTGTGAGATATAGTGAAGAGGACTACCTGCCACTAGAGTGAAAATTGCCCAGAATGAAACCATGGAGAACATTGGCTGCTGAAGCATGGTGACATGTCACAGTCCTAAATATTGAAGGGCTAGGCTTAACGAGTTCTAACAATTTTAAGAGTTTTGACTTATTGGTCAAGTTCATAACATCAGACAATATTGTTGGCGTGGTTGACTCTAATTTCCAAATTGATTCATGGTAAATCTCACTTGAGAATCTGGCAATTGGTCATGGCTACAAGGTGTGTAGAACTGGTGCTCGCATATCGATACTAGTTGTAAGTAGCCGTATAAGGATTAAAAAAATTAGCTGTGTAGCATTTATGAAACTTCTTCCACGATTTAATTAGGTTATGTTTGGTTTGAAAGGAAAGGTAGGGATTCCCTTCCTTTCCCTAACTTTTCCTTCAAACCAAACATAGCCTTACATTTCTTATAGATGGATGGGGTTTCTGTTTTTCGAGGATAAACGTTGATGCGATGTTTATTAAGTACCGGTGAGAGTCGGTGAGGGTCGGGAATACAAAGTCAAAGTCATGTAACCTATTACACAGAAAAAAAGGTAAATTTTGGTTGGTTCTATAATTCCATTCAAAGCTAACCGAATTACATGACTGATCACCATAAGCAATACAACCTATGAATCTCTTCTAAGTAGCAGTGCTTCTATATCCTGCCCTAGTGCCCTTACCCTTTCAGAGAAGATTAGCAGCATCAGTTCATTTGATCTTCCTAGACTCTCCAGTATACTAGTTGATTAGCACGTCAATATTTTTCCAGGAGAGAGAGAGAGAGAGCATAACGCTCTTGGTAAATTGGACTGGCTATCGTCAGTGTGTACATGTCCGGAAATCTTGGCAATGTAAACGAGACTACAAACCTAGTGCTGTTGAAGGATCCCTGTATGCTGATAATTATAAACTATAAAGAGAATGCAAACAATACTAGAAATCAGTGGTCATCCGACTTTCGTTTAACTTTTCAACTGTATGCTGATAATTATAAGTTGAGAAATGCTAATCCAAAAACTCTGAAGTTGAATTAGAGGTATTTTCACACAATTGCTGTTACATGTGTCTATGCAAATGTCATTAACAAACCAACATCATGTTAAAGGACAAAAATGCTTTTGCCAATGTACGTGTAAAACTAAAAGAAATAGTGGTATATCTCTGATCCCACCCAAAAGAGTATGATTAGCACTGTTTGTGCACAACATGAAGTGACCTGTGTGCAAATATTCAAGTATGCAGGTTATGGAGTCAGATAACATAAATGTTCTAATCAAGCAACTTCAATGAATCATGAAGGATCCATATTCCAAAAAGATCAGATTAAGGGCATAACCCAAGCAATTTGGACAAATAATAAATAACAAATGATTTTTTTATTCTTCAGATTGAAAATAAAGACTACAAACTACAATTGCAGATTACACCGACACCAGGTAGATAAGCCTAACATGTCCTCCCATATAAACTACAATTGAAACCCTCATTGAACAGAAAATCCTCCCAATCATCACTTAAGTGACCAAAAGAATATCTATGGATTTCCTTCAATATAAAGCCCCACTGAATCATGGTTTTCTCAATTCTCTCAATAAAGCTTCCTCAAGAGTGCTTTTAAATTAAAATATCCGGCTGTTCCTCTCCCTCCATATATACAGCACAATGCAAAAGGTAATATATTCTACAAGATTGTGTCTCTTCTACAATACCCTTTGGCCCTTTCAGTGGCCAGGTAGATGATAACATGGGAATATCATGGGGAACCACCCATAATCTTCTGAAGAGCCCTACGAAATAGCACAAGATTTCATAGGATACCTTCCAATGCAACAATAGGTGGAGGACTGATTCAGCTTCTGATTGGCATAGGCAGAACAGATTATCCAGCTTTCATGCCCTTTAGATATCAAATAGTCGACTCTGAGGATTCTGTCAAGCACCACCCCAAAGGAAGAATGATACTTTAGACGGGACATGAGTGTTCCAATTAAACCTCCTTTGGGTTTATAGCTACCAACTTTAATTTGCTTTTTGCCAAGCTTACCTGCAAATTCCTGCCACAATTACTTATTAATGCCAACACTCTTGGCCGAATAGAGAAAAGAACACGAATAATCTTAGAGGTGTCAAGAATAAAATGACCCCCACCTCAAAGAGTCTCTTATATATTAAAAGATATGTACAATTACAAGAATGCCCATATAGGGCTGAAAGAGAAAAGAAGAATAAGATGTAAAAGTAATATACAATAGGGACTATACTAATAAGGTACATCAAGTTATAGAGTCTCCCCACCCCCCTCAAACTGATGCCTCGACATAAGCATCAGTTTGTCTATAAGAAAGAGATGTTGAACTCTAGTCATAACTTTGGTGAAGATATCAGCAATCTGCATATCCGAGGCTACATGAGGAAGTGATATAGACCCAGTAGTGAAGAGATCTCGGATAAAGTGGCAGTCCACCTCAATGTGCTTGGTCCTCTCATGGAAGACGAGGTTAGATGCAATCTTGATAGCACTCATATTGTCTGCATAGAGAGGAATAGGAGTAGGAACCTGAATGCCAAGATCCATAAAGAGAGACTGTAACCAAACAATCTCACTGCAAAACAAAGACATGGCCCTATACTCTACTTCAATGGAAGACTTGGAGACTGTTTGTTGTTGTTTCTTACACTTCTAAGAGATGAATGAATCACCCATAAAAACACACCACCCAAAAGTGGACCTACGAGTGTCTGGACAACCAGCCCAATCCGCATCAGCATATGCTCTCAACTGAATAGGAGAGGAGGAGGAGAACAGTCCCTGGGAAGTTGTGCTTCTAACATATCGAATGGTGCGATGAACAACAATCATATGAGGTTGACGAGGAGCAGAAACAAATCGACCAACAACCTGGACAGCATGAGAAATATTAGGTCGAGTCATAGTGAGATAAATGAGGGACCCCACAAGCTAACGATATAAGGCAGCATCAGGAAGTGGACCTTCAGATTTAGATAGCTTAAGATTTAGCTCCATAGGTGTATCAACATGCTTTTCATCATTAAGACCACCAAGTTTAACAAGGTCAGAGACATACTTCTGCTGACAAACAAAATACCCTAGATCATTGCGATGTAATTTCAGTCCCAGGAAATATGTGAGAGGCCCCAAGTCCTTCATGTGAAAGGAATTATGAAGTAATAGTTTCAATTCACGAATGCCTTCAGCATCATTCCCAGTCAACAACATGTCATCAACATATAGTAGGAGAATGGTAATACCCTGAGGTCGTCGCCTAACAAATAAAGAGTGATAAGAAGAACTCTGGCTATATCCAGCAGCAACAACAACATTGCGAAAGCGTTCAAACCATGCCCGGGGAGCTTGTTTTATACCATATAGAGATTTTTTGACGCGACATACTAAAAAAGGATCACTGCAGTATCCAAGAGGAGGCTTCATGTAGACCGTCTCCTTCAACTGACCATGAAGAAAGGCATTCTTCACATCAAGTTGGCATATGGTCCAGGACTGAGTAGCAGACACTACTAAAAGAACACGGACTATGGTGATCTTTGCAACAGGAGCAAAGGTTTCTTCATAGTCAATACCATACTCCTGACTGTATCCTTGGGCAACTAAATGTGCCTTGTATTGATCAAGAGATCCATCAGACTTCAACTTAATGTTGTAAACCCAACGACTCCCAACAATGGATGCATTTGGAGGAGTGGGCACAAGATCCCAAGTGTCACTCTCATGTAAAGCATGAATCTCTGCATCCATGGCTTCCTTCCAATGAGGGCTACTATTAGCTTCTTGGTAGGAGCGAGGAACATCTGTGGAGGATAGGACAGTAAACAAAGAGCTATGGTTTGAAGGAATACCATAGTGGTCAGGAGGTCTAAATATACGGGTAGAACGACGAAGAGGAACATAAATATGAAGAGTGTCTAAAGTAGAGGTATCACTTATAGGAGCAATGGTAGGATGATGATCTGAACCAGGAGGAAAGAGAGTTGCAGGCACAGGGGCTAGAGCACGTAACCGCTTGCGAGAGAAGACGAGAAAGTCCTTCTCAGCAGAAGGAGGTGGAGCATCCTGTGAATCAAAGTTTGGCAAAACAGAAGCAAACGGTGCAGACAGTCTAGCAATTCCAGCAAAAAATGAAATGTGTTGAAGGAAAAAACATTACGTGATATACGAATGCGACGAATAGAGGGATCATAACAAAGAAATCCTTTGTGGTCAGGACTGTAACCCACAAAGGCACACATGACAGACTGTGCAGACAATTTAGAACGTTCACGAGAGGGAAGATGAACAAAGCACACACATCCAAAGACATGAAGCATAGATAAATCTGGAGAACAACCAAATAACTTCTGAAAGGGAGACATATTACCAAGAACTGAGGAAGGAATATAGTTGATCAAAAACATAGTTGTACTGGCTGCCTCTACTCAAAAGATAGGTGGATATGGGACTCCTGCAATAATGTCCTCACAACACTAAGGATATGTCCATTCTTGCGCTCGGCCACACCATTTTGCTGAGGAGTATCTAGACAACTTCATTGCACTTGTATTCTAAGATCCTTCAAATAGGATAAAAAATCTCTATCAGTGTATTCTCCTCCTAAATCTGAACAGAGAATTCACACTTGTGATTGAAACCCAACCCGCAACATAGCATGAAACAACTTAAATGTTGGAAACACCTCAGACTTGTGGTGAAGAAAGTATATCCATGTGTACCTGGTACAATCATCAATGAACAACACAAAATATTTGTATCCAACCCGAGAAGAGACAGAAGCAATCCAGACATCACTATGTATAAGCTCGAAGGGAGAGGTAGCATGCTCGGATGTGTGAGGAAAAGGTAAGGTACGACTCTTACTTAAGCAACAAGAAACACAAGATGTATCAAAGGTGTGCAAGGAAGGAACTTTATTCTTAATAAGGCTAGAATCAAACAAAAATTTTAATTTTTTAGAATGTAAATGACCCAAACGTTTATGCCATAAGTCCCAAACACTATTTCTATGATTCAGAAAGGAAATAGAAGTGGAGGAACCGAAATAAACTGATGATGATGCTGTTTGAGGCTTCTCGAACTCCAATGCAAACAGACAGCCCAACCTGCACCCCTTCACTTTCACCTTTCCAGTGTTCCGGTCCTGAATCAAACATCCATCTTGAGAGAAAATGAGAATGTTACCTTCATCAATTAATTGGCCAACAGAAATCAAGTTTGTAGTGAGATTAGGAACAAGAAGGGTCTTGGTAAGAGGGAAAGATGCAATCGGTGAAAGCTTAAGAGATAGATGTTTAACTTTTCACCATTGGCAGTAACAATATGTTTGTGATGGGTTTTAATAAGGTTACTTGGTTGGTTAGGGTAGGCTCCTGTCATGTGGTTGGTAGCTCCAGAGTTAATGATCCTAATATGAGAAGGAGAAGCACAATAGCAGAAAGAGCAGAAGGAATAACAGATGTTACTAGTTGTCGAATGTTTTGCTCAATTGTAGATGCTAGAGAATCACCTTTAACAAAAGAATCGCCACTATCAAAGGCTAGACACAAGGATATCAAAGACTACCAAATTCAGCAATGAAGAAGATAACAGTCCAAAAAAGGCAAGTTTTTAAGACTGTCGAGTCAAAGGCCTTTCAAATATGAATCTGAAGTTTGAATCAAGTAAATGGGAGGCAAAAAAACCCTAGGACAACACCAGATCTAGGGTTATAGGTTGATCGAGTCAGCTGATTGAAAGAAATATGTGATTTACCAACACATCAGACGTCTTCTTCACGAATAAAAAGGTATCTTATACTAGTTAAGGCAGTCCTTAAAAACTCCAAACCAGAAACTAAGTGTAGGGTTAAGGAGAGCTTGAGAGAACCCTTCGATATGGAGAGAAAAACTTAAATCGCAGGCTAATGTTGAAGGCCTGAAGTCCAAAAAAGGTTGCAGTCCAAAAATGGAAAATGTAAGTGCTGCCGCCCCAAGAAGATCAGAATTCCTTCGAAAACTTCACCAAAACAGATGTTGTTTATAGGTGGAATAGATCAGGTCTAGGCGACACCAGATCTGAAGTCCAAAGCTATTGCAGTTCAAAAAAGGAAACTGTACAATGTTGCCGCCTCAAGAAAATCAAAACTCCTTCGAAAACTTCACCAAATCAGATGCTGTTTATAGGGAGAATAGATCAGGTCTAGGCGACACCAGATCTGAAATTTGGCCTCAAACCAATGTCTCCCAAGAGAGATCTAAAGAAATCTCTCCTGCTGGTTGCGCAAAGAAGAAAGAACAGAAAAGGGTTGATCAAGACAGACCTAATATGACAGGTTTACTGCTTCTAGTAAGGTTCAAGAGAGCGAGAAAATAGATTGGAGAGCAACCTGCTCTGATACCATGTCAACACTCTTGGCCGAATAGAGAAAAGAACAAGAATAATCTTAGAGGTGTCAAGAATAAAATGACCCCCACCTCAAAGAGTCTCTTATATATTAAAAGATATGTACAATTACAAGAATGCCCATACAGAGCTGAAAGAGAAAAGAAGAATAAGATGTAAAAGTAATATACAACACGGACTATACTAATAAGGTACATCAAGTTATAGAGTCTCCACAATTAATACAAGTCCTTCAAAACTTTCCCTCAACTTTCTGTTTCTCTCTTATTTTCCTTCCCACCAAACACAGCCTAAGAGAACTAATAAAGTTCTGAAACCAGAAGAAGTATACAGCAATTCCTGGTGATAGTATCTTTCTCGTGATATAGAATAGTCAAGTTCCCTTCAGCTAGAAAGGTTTTGGATTCAAAGAGAAAGGAACTTCACATTTTGGTTTCCCAAGGGAATGCATCTATGGAGATCTAGGACCTCAAATCCAAAATGCAAGCTCCCCAATGACAAAATGAGGTTTTCAGATGAATATATTGTTGCAGAAATTCAAGTTGGCAAACTGCAACAGGCAATAGAAACATGAAAAGGAAAAGAATAAAAAGTGAAATCTTTGTAAGACATAATGCATCAACCAAAACAAGGAAATGCAATTTTATATTAGACAATGTGTTAGATGACACAGAAAATGCAAAAGAGATAATACCAAAAAAAACCTCCAGTATAATACAGTTGTAGCCTGAAATGTTAGATGGCTGTTGATCTTGGCAACGAAGTTACTCCAATGAGGGTCAATAATTGGACCAATTGCATCTAAAACAATTTGGGAACAAATCTCTTCGGATCACTGTATTTCACTGCTCTGCTGCATCATAACTCTCATCTGCCTCATCACCTTCATCCCCAGTTCAAAGTCAAAAACAAAAAATTCAAGTTAAAAAAAAGAAAAAAAGAAAAGAATATCTTTCTCAGATGAGAGAAACTTGGTCTTCAGATAAATCCAGGAGATAATATCAGACTTTATACTCACAACAACATCCACATGAAAGACGAATAGAAAGGTAAAGTCCTCAAGTAATGAATGATAGCTATATAGAACAATTGACAAATTCCAGCATTAGACAACTATTTCCATAAAGCAAAATCCTATCCTAGTGATTGTAAATTCCTTTTTTTGTGTTTAGGATCTATGTTTCAAAGAAATAATGTAACATTTCTTGGACTATGACATGTTAATGCAAAAGAGCCCAAATTAAAGTATGTTGTTTAGATAAAATGCGCTTAAGATTCTATTATTTCTTGACCTTCTTTACACTTCTTTTCCTATATACCTAGGATACTAATTGTATGCTTTTATCTTCAAATCATGCAGCAACTATCCTACATTTTGTAGTTTCGCCTGAACATCTAACTGCTTGGTTCAGATTCTCACCTGATTAAAGGAAAAGAGTTACTTCGATCAGTGGCGGATCCAGGACCTTTGATCAGTGGGGGCAGGGTGTCCAGTGAGGAGGATGGGTACCCAATGAGGACGAGGAAATTGTTATCCGTTCTATTGGGATCTTACAGCCTTATACACGAGAAAAATGAAAACAAACTTATTTGAAACCGGTGATCTTGAAGACACCATGAGCATATGTCTTGGTACCCAATGAGGACTAGGAAAATTGTCATCTCTAGGTTTGAAGACACGAGGTAGGTAGAGAGGTGAGATTGAGCTGTTGAGGGATGTGAAATGGCAAAAGAAAAAAAAAAGGTAAAAGTTAAAATCCTAAATCCCAAACCTCATAACTTGTCAATATGGAATAGAGACACAGGTGTCATTCTTCTATATTTTTTCTTTATTTCTTACTTATTCACCTCTAAAAAAATGACCCCGTTTAAGAAGCCAAGCCAAATTTTATTTGATTCCCTATTATTTTATTTGAGTGGGGGCAATTGTAAAAACATTTAAATTTCCTCATATTTTTTATAATTATATAAAACTTTTTCAAATCTCAGTGGGGGCAATTTCCCACACTGACCTCTACATAGATCCGCCACCGACTTCAATGAATGTTTGTCAAAGTACCTACATCCTCTTCAACTCTGGTTTATATTTATCAGATGAATAGTGCTAACTGCTAAGATATGAGGATGACAATACAACCAATGAGCCAACATTTAGGGAGGATGTTTGCCAATGTATATGGTTTTGTTTTCTAAAACAAAAACAGTTCCACAACAGCAAAAATGTATTGCTTTTGCTGACATGGCAACTGCCTTTTTTTAGAAAACAAAACCATTCACATTGGCGAACATCCCCTAGTAGGGATGGCAATTTTCCCTACTCTGATCCCCGCAGTGATCCATCCCAAATGGGTCAAGGGTATCTGTGCAATTTTACTAAGTGAGGATCCCCATGGGTCAGGGAGTGTTCTCCCCGTCCCTTCAAGGGGAAAATGGGTTTAAAGCCCTGATGCCTTAAAACTTGGGATTTATGTTGAGTATTTGTATTTGTATTATGAATTAATTAATGAATTTGTGTTAATATCTTTAAAAATATGGTTGAATATGTTTGGATATATTTGGATCTATCTTGATAGGATTATAAATTGTAACTATTTTATTTTAATTTTTTTAAAGAAGTAGAAATAAAAAATAAAGTAAATTTGAATCATCAAAAAACCAAGGTGGGGAGTGGGGATACCCACGAGGATGGGGATCCCCGTGTAACAGTGATAGGGTTTTTCGTAGAGGCAGGAATGGGGAGTAGCTTCCCATCCCTCCCTTGCCCTGTTACCATTCCTACCCCTAGGGGTGAAGAACCAAAGGAGAGCTGAGCAGATGGGAGAGATGAGAAGAGACCCTCGAACAGGTTTTTTCTCTCTCCTCCCACTTTTCTGAGACTTTAATGATGAGACACAATTTGGTGTGTTGCGGCTATACCAAAGACTCAATTAACATTGCTCTGATACCAATGAACAACCAAAGGAGAGTTGATCACCTGACGTGGAACTACAATCTCAGCATCAGAGAATCATTTACAGGATCCGAGACACAGGCCCGCAGTAGCAAAATGCAACCCAGAACTTCTTAATCTGAATAGAGCAGGAGCAGTAGAGAGGATCTTTTCCTTTCTCAGTAATGAGCTTATCTCATGTGTTGGAAGCAATTGGGAGTGACTCTTATATATAGCCTGCTTCTCCAACGTTAAGTTCCCTGTTTTTAGGAACAAACAACAACCAATATAACCAATTGAGATAAGTGTTCCTTAACGGTAAAAATCATGCTCCATTAGATTTGAGACAAGTGTCTCACGGATCTAACCACTTGGTCATCCAGTCTAGACTGGGCCAAATGGATATCCATTGACCCAGTAAGAGCTGGAACTAGGATCCAGAATAATCCAATATATCTCTATGCATAAAACATTTTTCAGTAAACAATCAAATAAAGTTTCTTTTATAGAAAATAAATAAATAGATAATAATTTAAAGAAAAGGTGAATGATTATGTGTGAAGGTGTTGCATAGAGATATCCATAAAACAGTCATCTTCCATCAACATGTGGCTTGTCACATGGCCATTGGATATTCCAACATGTTGAGGATCAAACGAGGTCTATGGCCACTCTACCATCATCTCCCACTTGGCCAGTTAGGCCCGAGATGAATAAGTGCCAACCAACCCCATTGCTTTAACATGCCTTACATAACCTGTAATTGCAATGGGTTTAGTCAATGGGTCGGCAATCATTTCTTTTGTAGGCACATTCTACCAAGATCTCATTCCGTTGGTAGACATCATATAAATACCGGTATTAGAGATCTTTGTGTTTCCCTTTAGGGCCAATCTCACCATTTTTAATTGTCTTGATAGCAGCTTGGTTATCATTGAAGATCTTCACAGCTCCTATTGGCACATCAAGAATTCGGAGTTCTTCCAAGAATCTCCTAATCCAAACTGCTTCAGATGTCACAAAGCTACAAGCGATAAACTCAGCTTCCATGGTGAATTTAGCTACACAGCACTTCCTCCTAAGAGGAATAAGTACCCGATTGTGGATTTTCTATCATCCGGGTCACCTGCAAAATCAGCATCACAAAAACCAATAACTCTAAATCATTTGCATGATAGGTTAATTTGAAGTGTTTTATCAACTGCAAATACCTAAATATTCTTTTAACAGTCTTCCAATGTGTTTTACTTGGATTACTTTGACACTTGTTCGAGATTTTTTCTTTTTCTTCAATCTCTAAATGAACAACGGACTCCAACGACTCAAAACGAGCAGTAGGCTCCAGCAACTCCGAGTGAACAGAACCCAGCAACTCCGGCGATGCCCTCCTCTTATTTGACAACGCCAACTTGCGGCGAGCGTGGATCGAACATGCGACCTTCAGATCTTCAGTCTGACGCTCTTATTCCAATGACGTTGACTTTGATCTCCGGCGACTTCTCCTTTTGATGGCAGACCCCTGTTCGAGTTTTCTTGGACAACTTTCATTCAAGAGAAACCCTAGTTTGAGTTCTCTTTTACATTCAGAGCTCAATCATTCAACCGTTGCAAATTGAGAGAAAGGGTTCATCATTGATCTGAAACCCGGAATCTGAAAGCACCTGAAGCTGTTCAAAATAGTTTTTGGTCGGTTGAAATTTTTTCAAGGCACGATCAAGATGCAAATCGGGTATTAGAAACCCATTTTTGAACATTCACCTTCTGATTATCATTGATAATTCTTTTTTTTTACAAATCATTCACAGTCGTACTCTTTTTTTTGTTTCCATCTTTATTTTGTTGTGAGGCCCTATATCATTTCGACCAAGGCTGTGATCCATTGGGAAGTGTTACAAATCGGAGTTACTGGCTCTGCATACAGTTAACAGTGGCTAGACTTGACCTAGTTTTCTAAGATCACTGCAACAGATTTAATTGATTTCAAGCTGCTAAAAGAAACAGTGGGAACACTTGGAAATCCAGACCTTGCTAATAACACTGATAGGCCAAGCCAAATAACAGCCATGACTGGGAGTTCATCAGCAGATTTATCTGAACATCAGTCTCGTAAATACAGCTAAGTGCTCTATTCATTATTTATTTTTCTTTAACTTAGCAATATTCTTGATATTCTGAACCATGTCTGCTACTGCCTTGTCTCAAGAACTCAGTAAAACTGAGAAATTAAATGGCGCAAACTATGCTCTTTGGAAACGTAGCATTAGGAGAATATTGGATGAAGAAATGTTGATTATGTATTAGATAAACCTATTCCTGCTAAACCTACTGATGATGATTCCTTGATTGCAATTTGTGAGTATCAAAAATGGGAAAAGGATAATAGGAAGGCAAGAAATTGTTTGTTAACTTTTATGGAGCCTGACATAGAGGTTGTGTTTGAAGAATATAATAATGCTAAAGATATGTTTGAAGCCATTAAGGAAACATATGGAAAAATAACCGAAACCTATGATTAACTATTAATTGAGAAATACTATGGCTATGAAATGAGAAAGGAAGATTCTGTAGTAGACCATGTTAGTAAAATGAATGTGATTGCCAAAGAATTGGCAGCCACTGGAAATCCCATTCCTGAGAAATCTCCACCATTCTTAATAGCCTCCCATCTTCCTGGAATTCTGTAGTAACAACTTTAAACCTATTTGGAAGAGAAGTTAGCATAAAAAACTTACCTACTTTGCTAGGATTAGAGGCTGAAAGGAAGAGGAAGAAATCCCAACCTTCATCCTTAATGGTTGCTCCCAAACCAACTGAAATGGCTGAAAAGCCTAAGGGCAAAATTTTCAAAAATAATAATGGGAAGAAATTTAAATTCTCAAAAGGRTTCAAGAAGACTAAGGGTAAACAATGCTTTAACTGTGGAAAACAAGGTTATACAAAATATAATTGCCCTGAATGCAAGAATAACAAATCGAATAATGAAAAGGGAAAAACTGAAAAGAAAGATATAGCCTGTGTAGTATCTGAATCCTACTTTACTGATTCCGATTTTTCTTATTGGTGCACAGATTCTAGCTCCTCTAAGCATATTTGCAAAACTAAAGAGATGTTCCTGGAACTGAAGGAAATGAAGACAAGAGAACACAGAATTTTTATAGGAAACAACACCTACATTGATGTACTTGGAACCGGAAAAGTGAAGATCCCCATAAATGAGAACATGAATTTAATCCTCACTGATGTATTATATGCACCTAATTTTAGGAGAAATTTATTGTTTGTACCTCTGTTAGATGAGAAGGGTTTTGACATACGTTTTAGGGGAGGAAAAGTGACCATAGGGAAGCATGGTAGAGTTTTAATGTTTGGGAATAAGTCTGATGGATTGTATTGTTTGACTATTAATAAAGTTGATGTTCTTTCTAGTTATGATTGTGTTTATCATGTGGATGAAAATGCATATATTTGGCATATGAGACTTTGTCACATAAACAAAAATAAAATGATGAGAATGAGCTCCAATGGATTAATTCCCAAAATAGAATTAAATTTCAATTATTGTGAACCATGGCTTAGTGGAAAAATGACTAGGCTCCCTTTTAATAAAGGAAAGAAATTAGAGGAATTATTAGCAATAATACATTCTGACGTTTGTGGCCCTTTGAATGTAAAAACACATAGGGGTATGGAATACTTTGTAACTTTTATAGATGATTTCTCCAGATTTGGCTTTGTGTATCTGATTAAGAGAAAATCAGAAGTGTTAGAGAAATTTAAAGAATATAAAACACTTGTAGAAAACCAATTGGGTAGAAAAATAAAAACTCTTAGGAGTAATAGAGGTGGACAATATATCTCTAACCTATTTAGTGACTTTTGTACACAAAATGGAATTATACACCAACTAACCATGTCCTTCACGCCAGAATGGAGTGGCTGAACGGAGAAATAAGACTTTGTTGGATATGGTGAAATCAATGTTATCTCACTCAAGTCTAGGAATACACTTTTGGGGAAAAGCCTTAGGTACTACTGTATATATTCTAAACAAGGTTCCAACTAAAGTTAATAGCTTAACACCCCATGAAATGTGGACTGGTAGAAAACCAGACCTGACTGACATCAAAATTTGGGGGGCTAGTGCCTATGTAAGAGTGCCAAGTCAGCAAAGAAGCAAGTTAGATAGCAAGAGTCTAAGGTGTACCTTTATAGGGTACAGTTTAAATAGCAAAGGGTAGAGATTTGTTAATCATAAATCTGATGGAATAGTTGAATTAATAGAAAACAGAGATGCTATTTTTCTGGAAGATCAAATTGAGGATAATAAACAATTACCTACCCTATTTGAAATAAACAAAGAAATTATAGAAGCTGAGACTACACCTAAAAGATAGGTTTCATCTAATAATGACACCCTAGGAAGAATTCAGAGAGAAAGATTCCCTTCTTCAAGATTAAAAGATTATTATACCTACTTGAATGAAGAACCTCTTGATGATCCAATTGATTTTAAAGATGCTATGGATGCACTTGATAAGGAAAAGTGGTGTGAAGCCATAGAAGAAGAGTTAGATTCAATAAATAAAAATCAAGTTTGGGAATTAATTGATTTACCCAAGAATAGGAAACCTATAGGGTGTAAATGGATATTAAAGAGAAAACTCAATATTGATGGGTCTATAGAAAAATATAAGGCAAGATTAGTAGCAAAAGGGTACATCCAAGTAGAAGGGATTGATTATGAGGAGACTTATTCTCCAATTGCCAAGTTTACCTCTATTAGAATCCTAATGTCTTTAGTTGCCTTTTTGGACTCAGAGTTATGCCAATTAGATGTTAAAACTGCTTTCCTCAATGAAAAGTTGAATGAAGAAATATACATGACTCAACCCAAAGGCTATGTAATAGAGGGTCAAGAAAATAAAGTGTATAAATTAAAGAAATCGTTGTATGGTTTAAAACAGTCCTCTAGGATGTGGTACCATACCTTTCATGGAGCAATCTCTAAACTTGGATTTATACCTAATCCATTTGATCACGGTGTTTACTCTTTGAATAGTAGGAGTAGTTTTGTTGTTCTTTCATTATATGTAGATGACATTCTTATTGCTGGAAATGATGTGTCTATGATTAATGAAACTAAAGATTGGTTAAAAACCAACTTTGAAATGAAAGACATGGGCGATGCTAGTTATGTACTTGGAATTCAAATAGAAAGAGATAGGAACACTAAAACCTTAACTCTTTCACAAGAGCATTACCTGGAGAAATTCCTAAGGAAATTTAATATGAAAGACTATAATGGAGTTGAAACTCCAACTTGTAAAGGAACCAAATTAAGTAGGGATATGGATCCTACTAATAATGGAGAAAATGAAGTATAGACCCTATGCTTAAGCTATTGGTAGCTTGATGTATGCAATGCTTTGCACAAGATCGGATATCTCATATCCAGGTAAAACACACTGGAAGACTGCTAAAAGAATATTTAGGTATTTGCAGTTGACAAAACACTTCAAATTAACCTATCATGCAAATGATTTAGAGTTACTGGGTTTTTGTTATGCTGATTTTGCAAGTGACCCGAATGATAGAAAATCCACAACCGGGTACTTATTCCTCTTAGGAGGAAGTGTTGTCTCATGGACAAGCAAGAAACAAAGCTATGTAGCTGAATTCACCATGGAAGTTGAGTTTATCGTTTGTAGCTTCGCGGCATCTGAAGCAGTTTGGATTAGGAGATTCTTGGAAGAACGCCGAATTCCTAATGTGCCAATAGGAGTTGTGAAGATCTTCAATGATAACCAAGCTGCTATCAAGACAATTAAAAATGGTGAGATCGGCCCTAAAGGGAAACACATAAATCTCCAATACCGGTATTTATATGATGTCTACTAACAGAATGAGATCTTGGTAGAATATGTGCCTACAAAAGAAATGATTGCCGACCCATTGACTAAACCCTTTGCAATTACAGATTATGTAAGGCATATTAAAGCAATGGGGTTGGTTGGCACTTATTCATCTCGAGCCTAACTGGCCAAGTGGGAGATGATGGTAGAGTGGCCATAGGCCCTCGTTTGATCCTCAACATGTTGGAATATCCAATGGCCATGTGACAAGCCACATGTTGATGGAAGATGACTGTTTTATGGATATCTCTATGAACACCTTCACACATAATCATTCACCTTTTCTTTAAATTATTATCTATTTATTTATTTCTATAAAATAAATTTTATTTGATTGTTTACTGGAAAATGTTTTATGCATAGAGATATATCGAATTATTTTGGATCCTAGTTCCAGCTCTTACTGGGTCAATGGATATCCATTTGGCCCAGTCTAGACTGGATGACCAGGTGACTAGATGCTTGGTCAACTTGAGACACTTGTCTCAAATCTGATGGAAAATGAATTTTACTGTTAAAGAACACTTATCTTAATTGATTATGTTGGTTGTTGTTTGTTCCTAAAAATAGGGAACTTAATGTTGGAGAAGCAGGTTATATATAGGAGTCACTCCCAATTGCTTCCAACACATGAGATAAGCTCATTACTGAGAAAGGAAAAGATCCTCTCTACTGCTCCTGCTCTATTCAGATTAAGAAGTTTCGGGTTGCGTTTTGCTGCTGCAGGCCTGTGTCTCAGGTTCTGTAAATGATTCTCTGATGTTGAGATTGTAGTTCCACGTCAGGTGATCAGCTCTCCTTTGGTTCTTCAAGGGGACCATGATATATGAAATGTTTACTAGATGCAAGGCATCTGTAGCATGTGTAAGTCCACACTTAAGTACTTATTAACTTCTCTATGTACATGACTTGTCTGTGTATGTGACCAAATATGGCTGTGTATGAGATGCATATCTAGAAGACACTTTGTAAAATTCTCCTGATGGGCATTATTTCTGATAGAAAAATACATCATCAACCTTGAAAATGATTTGGAATATCTAGCTATCACTGTAGAAGTGTTATATAGTAAGGTTCTATTTTATGCATGCTATACATGCATACATGTGCTGAGTGTAATGTTTCAAGTTCAATGTGAAGGATTCAAGGGTTTTAAGATTCCTGGGAGATAATTTTGCATATAATTGCATAAAAAATAAAGAAAAATGAAAGCTTAATGAGTTCAAGCTCAAGGAACCGCAAAGAAGATAAACCCAACAATCTTAACTGAAGTTACCAAAGCAAATAAAACCGTGGCCTCAGATAAAGAATAGAAATTCAAGAAAAGTAACAGAGAGATTATCAACTAACCTTCAGCTTCTTCGACTTTATCCTCATCTTCAGCTTCCCCTCCTTCATAGTCAATCCCATACATCCTGTTCAGGTAATCTACAGCTTGCTGAGTAAACACCAGATTATCTGAATTCAAGATGTCAAACAGGTTCAGCGTCCTCGGCGTTAGCAATTTCAACATCCTGATATTCCAACTAGACAACCTCACATTGTCCGACACCTCCGTGAACAAGAACATGGATTTCTCCTTGGGATCAATTCCCCACCTCTTCATCGCTGCGATGAAATCTTTCGTTTTTGGCTCATCGAATTTATCAGAAAAATCCTCCACAATAATCGCATTTACTGCTGCGCTGGATAACGCCGTCGATATAGCAAACCGCTTCTCTTTCCGGTTGATCTTGATGCTCCAATCCATTGGCTTCGGACCGAAAATAACACCTCCACCAGGCCTGAGAGGTGTTCGTTGAGACCCACGCCTGGCCCGTCCGGTCTTTTTCTGTGGGTAAGGTTTCTTACCACCTCCACGAACTTCTCCTCTCGTTAGAGTCGAAGCTGTTCCCCTTCGCTTATTCTGTTGATCAGTGATGATCCCGCGGTGAAGGACGGCTCGGGGCGTCTCTGGCGGTGCCGTTTTCAGGTCAAGATGGGTTTCACCGATCTTCTCGCCTTCGAAGGAGAGGATAGAAAGCGTTGCAGCCTCCGAATGGATTGTTAGCGTTTTAGTCACAGAATGGCTTAAGGTTTGGAAATGAGAAGAGGTTTAAGAGTTTTCAGAGAGTTTGGTATCAAGATAGAGAGAAATTTAGGGTTCTGCTGGGGAGAAGTAAGGAAAATCGAAGAGGAGAAGAAAGAAATGGCGTGGGATGTTGAAGAGGTCGCCATTGCTCGGTGTTTGGAAGGTAGCTTGTTCTGTTCTGTGAGAGGTGGTGGAGAAGAGTGGACGGGTTGATTTTGATCACATGATTTTGAAATTTCTATTCTATTTTCCAATTGGAAGTTAAAACAGCGAGAAGGTGCAACTCTCGACTTCAGCGCAGCAAAAGACACGGAACAGGGACTTAGGATGTCCGAATCCGATTTTCACGGATTTGAATATTACAGTTTTCATTTAATTAGTTAGTCCTTGAAGCCCCCACCAATGCAGGCGGGCTCAACATATATAATTATACTATATATAATGAATATGTATTTTTTTTATACTGAAAATTAAGATTTGAAGCCCCAAAAGGTGTTTTTGGCAAAAATAATAGGGTAAGGCACGTTGAAATGCATAGATTACAAAATATTGCCCAATATATAAAAAAAAAAAATAGATCACTCTAATAAGACAATCAAATGCAAAATTATGGCCTTCATAAGTTTGCATATAAGAAAAATAAATGCAAAAATAAAGATATTCTGAAACTGGGATCAATTCATCGGTTCTCCAATATTATATCAGCTGGTTGGTTAGTTTTGATCTGTTTTTATTATCCTGGTTTTTTATTAGGGGTGCAAGTCAGGAGGATTGGGCTGAGTTTATGGTCAATTTAGGCCCAGCCTAAGATTTGGGCCTAAAGCCTAAGACCAAACAAAGCCTAAGGTCAAGCCCAATCTTCCTAATCTGAGCCGAGCCCACATTGGAATTTGATGCAATGGGTTGGGCTCGGGCCCGATTTGGGTTTGGGTTGTTCAATGAACCCGCTCTATAACTGTACATGTATATATGTATTTATGCAAATATATAGACATATATGTATATCTATATATAAATACATATCTATATATGCATGTATGTATATAGTCAAGCTCAGGCCGTGTTCAGGCTACCTAAAGGCTGGGCCAGAGCCCAACCTGAAAAAATAGAAAGTATTACGTAGGCTTATAAGGACGGGAATTGCTAAAATTTGCTTATTGAAAGAAGCTATTTTTACAAAGCAGGATTTTATCCTCAAAATGCCCGAACTCTCTCTCTCTCTCACACACATGTTCTCTCTTTTTTTTTATGTTTTTGAAATGCTTTAGAAGTAGCAGAGCAAATAGGTTTAAATTGAATACAAGAAAGTCTTTATCTTAAACAAGAGTTTTCCTGGAATTGCAGGCTTGGAATGGTAACTTGGCATCTTTCCAAAAAGAGAGGTGCAAGGTGAAATTCATGTAACTGCAAGCATAATATTAATATTGTCAAGAACAGGCTTAGATATCTTATTTAATTATAATGAAGGTGACAAAGCTAGAACACTAGACCATTTCATCAAATGAATTAGGTGTTTCTAAATAGATGTAATGCAAATAAATATGGGTTTGCAAATGGATTTATGACCATTGGTGGAAGGCTGGTTTTTATTAAATTCTTTTCAATTTTTTAAATCAAAATCAAACTATAGACAACCATATTAAAGCATGCATGAATGGAAAGACAGGGTATTTTACCAAAAAAATATCTCTCACACTGATTTTTCTTTTTTCTTTTTTCTTTTTTTTACCTAGCCCCAATCCCAAGAATTGAGCTTAGGCTGAATTTTGATGTATTTGGGTTGGGCTTGGGTTAAGATAAGGTTGAATTAGGTTTATATCATTGTGGAGCTGCATAGATTAAGAGATATATGGAGAATTTTATTACAAACCGTGATGGCATATGGCATCATTTGCTTTACTGTACTTATCCATCAGTGTCAAGGCTTTTAGCATATGGTTGGGTATGTATCAAATTAAAGGGCATAAAGATATGATTGGGTATGTATCAAAATCTTTTACTACAAACATACATACACACATAGAAGATTTGAAGGGTAAAAAGAAGAAAGGGACATGTCATAACTCATAACCCTCATCGGAGTTAGGGAGCATTGTCAGAGTCAAAAGGTTGGAAACTAAAATATCGTGTGTTCAAATTCGGTTGCTATGGAGGCTAGGGTTTTCAACAATTCCTCCCAAATATGAATTTTTGAATGACAGACACCCTTTCATGTAATTTATGTCCAGGAAGCTTTGGAGTCCTACTCGACCCCTGCTCGCTTTAACTGACCCAAATTGCAGAAATGGGTTTTATAGTTTTCAATCTCCCCACTCTCACCCCTGCTCGCTTTATGCATATATTATATAAAGTTTATAATTGTTAAATTTAATACATATACATTATATTTAAATTAAAAATAACTATTTTTTTTTTAATTTTTTGGTCATTTTAAACATGATAAGATGGTTGATAATAAATTTAAATATGATAAAAATCCAATATGATAATCTAATGTGAATGCAAATACAATAATTAGATCTCACCCTGAATTCGATCCGGTTAAAGCCCTATGTCCGGTCATTGTCTTTATATGATGCTACTGTTTTGCTACACTGTCAATGACTCAATGTTTGTCTCTCTAACGTTCCAACTTCCAAGGCATCCATCGACCATCGTACACTACTAGTCCACTGCCCGTAGCAATGCAGCTTGGACGGTTAGGATCGGCTTGTGGGTCAATCAGGCCCAATCCTAAGTCTTGGACTTAAGTTTAAACTTGACCCGACCCGAGGTAAGTTTTTAACGTTTTACCCATATACCCCAATCCAAAGGTGATGAGGTTCACCCTTCACAAGTTCACAAGACACTTGAGGTTTGAGCACTGTTTGATAATGACTAAAATGAATGAGTTATTGATTTATCTTTTTAGGGGATGAAATAAGCAAATAGTAAAAAAGGTTTAAGTTATGGTAATCAATCCAATAACTTCAAAAAGACAGAGAAATAAGTTATTCGGTACAATCATTTCAGCTCTTACCAAACATCCCTTAATAATACACAAGGCGTTTTGGCTTTACCTTGTCTCAAGGCATTTGCCACGGTACCAAGGGCATGGGCATGTGCTATGCATACGTATAAATAGAGGTAAAAAAAAGGGTAGATATAAAGATTACCAAACACATCAGAGTGCATTTTAAAACTACTAGTGTGTGTACAAGAGATACAAGGGTAAAAAAGCAAACAGCCTTGCTGTGCATCCATCCTGATCCTGTAATGGTCAATTGATAAGCATGCAATATCTCCATTTAGACTAGTCATATGGTTGGTTCTTGGTTGCACCTCATTTCTTACTACCTGTACTCATGAAAGATATTTTGATTTATCTTCTATTGTCTGTACAGAAACAGAAACCAAGGCCTGGTCCTAATATCAGGGAGGTGCTGTAAGGTTTGGCATTTTTAACTTTTAAGCCTGAAAATCAGTATCGTATACCATTCCAAATTTCCAATGCATGCCAATACAAGTTTGGGTGTAAGTGCTAGATGAATTCCTACATCTGATTAACACCCATGGTTCTGTAAATTGAATAGCAATCAATAGAAAATCCCTTAAATAGCAATAAACAAGGAAACAAGAGACAGTATTTATAGAGGACGAGAGCTACACCATTTGGAATTTAATTTATGTCTGTGGATGATCTTGTTCCTTTTTTTTTTATTTTTTAGATTTCAAGCTACACCCCACGCAGATATGGGCATTTCATTTCCAATGTACAATTTGTGCTTGCCTACTAAAAAGAAACTGAAAATTGATACAACGAAGGATGAGAATGATAAATTATAAAGGCTTAGATCTTGCCACATTAACCACCCTAGTAGTATTCCTTTTCACTAACATGCGAGCTCCTTTGACAAGTTCTTCCTTAACCATGAACAGAACAGCAGCAGCAAGAACACTCTGTACAATTTTTGTGCTCATCCCTTTGTAAAAGCCAGACAAGCCTTCATAGTGGATCATCTTCACAATGGCATCGAACATACCTGCATTAGAGGAAATGTTCCATCACACAGGAACTGAATAGCAGATTGAGGTACGCAATCTGTTTTGCTCTGTGTTTGCACGGTGCATAAACTAACCATCTTAATACTCTCATCTAAATCAAAAATGTTTATGAAGATCTTCATGAACATGTCTGGGAACGTTAACATGCAAATGCTTAGTTTCTCTTTTAGGACAAATCCATGTGCTGAAAAAGTTAAGATCACCAAATCAAGTAGGTCCATTGTGTTGACCATGCAAAAGGTGATGCTGTTTAATGCAACATCTGGAAGGTCTACCAAGCAGGCAATAGCAATATCACCTCATATAACTAATAGGGCAGCATTAGGTGATCCAAGTTGATTTTGCAAGCCTAGTTTGTGGAAGTAATTGGAAGCCTAAAATGGGTAATATTTGTGGAATATAGTGGTTTTGTTGAAGCTTTTGGAAGAGAAAAAACGCCTTATTTTTGAAGATGATTCTATTGTTAAGTGGATTCTATTTCTGGTTCATTCAAGGAGTTCAAACATGAATATTACTCTTCTTTCAGTGTGTAACTTGTACATCTATGCACACAATGCTTTTTTTTTTTTTTTTTTTTGCACATGGGCAATCTACCTTTACTTCACATGATAAAGGCCATTAGCCAATGTTGGTCCCAGCTATCTGGGGTCTTCGGAGGGTAGACAGGATATGGTCCTAAGTCCTAACCTTTGGCATTTTCTTTATGCACAAAGTGGCCACTCTCAGGCTTGAACCTGCATTCTCATGCTTGCCAGCCTGAGATTTTACCAAAACACCAAATGGGCCTTTACTTCACATGATATCAAAGAAAAAAGGAAAAAAAAAAACACTATGACATTTCAAACCTTTATAATGAAGCTTCTTGTCTCCACCAGTAACTTGTTTTGCTTGAAGTCTTGACTGCACATGTGATAGAATGATTGAGGAATGAAACAGAGTATAACAAATTAGAGGACATTTAAAATGAAATCCAGTCAACCATTTGTAACGCCCATCCATCTAGAAATTGATCCTTAAGCATCTGCCAGCCAAACAAGGGCCAATTGGTTGATAAACCGACCTCAACCATAGATCAATTGCTTGGGAAACAACACCTGTCATCTGCCAGCCAAATAAGGGCCAATTGGTTGATAAACCAACCTCAACCATAGTTCAATTGGTTGGGAAACAACACCTGTCAACTCCAACTTACCCAGACATAGAAGGAAATAATTTAAAAGTCAAATTCAGGAAGAGAAATTGCCACAATAAAGATGTTGGTAATTTATGTTTTCAAAAATCCAGAAAACTCAACTAGTCACTGGAAGTTGAGAATATACCAAATCAGAAAACTCAATTCTTATACCAGCACTTTGTTACCCTTCAGCTTTCAAAATAGAAGACCCAATCAATTCCTATTGGGAAATCCATTGAATTCTTTAATGGTTAAATTAGTCATTGAATCTTAATCATGTCTTGGCTTGAAATGATCTTCAGGGTGGTCCAACTTACAAAGTCACACTTTCTTCTAGCTAAGTCAACTAGTCAAGTTTTGGGTGGCTTTTGACAATCTTCTAAAACCATAATACTACTTCTAGAAGTTATGCCAATTACCTTCACAACAAGAAGGGGATATGTCACAACAGTTGCTCCAAGTTTAGCAACAGCTCCAAGAAGAAAAATCTAGTAAAAAAGTCAGTTAAATGGTATTAAAGCAAATATAACTAGGAAGGAGATGATACTGAAAGTCAGATTAAAGCCCACCTCCAAAGCAGTTACTGCATCATTTCCCTTCTTACTTGAGGCACGCCTAGCCTTCAGCTTTTTCAACAGGGTCTCATATAGCATAAATTGTATGGAAGGATTGCTAACCTGTAACAGTAGCAGGTGCATTTCAGTTTCCTTCATTTGTTTGGAACCAAAAAAGTCTGACTGCTCACTAACCATGATAAGTGTTGGAAATACGCCTTTCCAGAAACCCCAAAGTCCAGCTTCATCATAGACTTCCTGGACCTGTACACATTAAACTATCCTCCTTGAAGGTCTTGGTGGTAAACACCAACATGACAGGAATTGGAAACTGATCTTGGCATAGATGTGGAAAGCAAAACAAAGGAAGTTCTTTATATATTTTGTAGGAAGCATCTAATTATGCTTCTTATTATAATTTATCTGTACATAACAACTTGCTTTAAATTCTGAAACCTTAGAATCAGAGGTATATGTATATTCCCTTCAGTTTCCATTTTTCAGGTAGTATAATAAATTACAAAAGCAATTCGTCATATCAACTTGTTTGAATTCTTTTTTATTCCAGAATCTATGGCATTGTCTTTAAAGTCAGTACTCAATCAAGGTTCTAGTTGTTAGTGCATTTAAGGAATCATGTCTGTTGCAGAAAGTGCAATACAAGTCCATTTGTCGCTCCGATAGGTTTGTACAAAAAAGCTAATTTATCTAATTGATTCCATCAACTATGATCTCACGAGTGATACATTGCACATCCATAAAAAAATAAAATAAAGAGAAACATACGCCAACCGGACATCAGAAGAATACAAAAGGAGATTGCATTCTTCAGCTATGAGCCGTGTTCAACTCACAACCAAATCAAGTTACTGTACTTTCAGTTACTTTTTCAGTTTTAATTCCTGCATTTTACTACATTCATAAACTCAATGTTGAATAGAAAAGGTAAACAGAATTAATGGTTAAGTTCATTCAATGGGATACTATCTTCTCATGACAATCATCAATGTTGAAACCACCAATTATTGTCCCAACATGACTTTGCTATCATTCCAATTAGTATAACTATTCCATATTTATGGTATAATGGTCTGGTAAAAAAACCTCATTCAGATTATTGGCAGCTCATATGTCAAGCAACAATTTATACAAGGAATTGTCAAGGAGCGAAAATTGTACATACGGCATGGCTAGTTCCATATGGTGGAGGCTCCACAACAGCGAGAATTGTTTCATCTGGCACAATTGATAGATTACGATTAAGTCTAGTTTCTGTTGATGCCTTTGTGTGTGTCTGCAAGATAACAACACATTTCAAGCATGGAAACCAGTTGGGTTAACTTTAAATATAATCACAGAAATTTGTTTTATATATATAGCACCATCAAAATCACTTTTTCCATAATAGTTCTGATGGTTGATTGATTGGTTAACAGTGGAATGAAAAGATTATTTTCTATTGTAACTGAACCTTTTGCTAATTGGGCAAGTAAGCTAAGTTACAAACAATGACTTATCAGGAAAAAAAAATTATGGGCAATCCCCAACCACTAACCAGAGCCCAGTCACAGCTAATAATCAGAAAATGTAGGCAATTTTTTTTGATCGACAACATAAGAACAACTTTTATTAGATCATATAAAAATATTACAATTTTCAGTAGCCTCGGCTAACCCAGAAAAGCTTAAGATAACAACAAAAACATTTCTTATAATTACAATTGAGCCCAAAAGCAATTCCTTCTATTGAACCCTTGCTAGCTAAATAATCAGCTAAGCTGTTTGCTGATCTAGGAAATCAATTCCTTCTATTAGATCGTATGAAAATGTAGGCAATTTGCTTGAAGAACCAATGCTGTTAGCTTGAGAGAACATGAAATCATTTTAGATTTCCACAAGGCCGGGGTCTCCCATAAAGAAGGAAAATGGGGAAAAGATTTCAAGAATTCAAATCCAATTATACTTTCACCAAAGAATCCAAATCTAATATAAGAAAATCAGCTTTCCAATGATTGACGGTGTCTATTTTTCAAATTTCCAGCAAAGGCCTTGGAGGGGGGTAAAACTTATAGAAATCTGAATTCGAAGTCAAATTTGTGTCAAAAGAATAGTCTTAAAGGAGAGTAGCAGTGAAATCAACTAGATTTTACCTGCATACGGGTAACAACTACCCATATGGGGTTAGTAAATAGCACATTCACGCACCTACACAAAGAAAAATGTAAACAATACTTCAAACAGCAACACATGATAAAATTGAAGGGGCTTCAAATTGATTAAATTTACTATACTAATCCATGTCCAATATAATAAGCGAATTGAGAACTTTTACAAGAAATGTTTGGAATTGAAGTGGTCCAGGGGAATTTATGCCATGGTCTTTGACAATTAATTTTTTATTTAATTTTGTTTGAATATTTGTTTGTGTATGTGTGTGGGGTGGTAATAAAGGTCTACAGATAAACTTTTTTGTAACCATGCTATATTGTCATGGAAGGATTGATTTTGAAAGGTGTTCATGTCTAAGGAGGTTGTAACATAATTTCCAACGGAAAAGAACAATCAAGATGAATAAAAATTAATTCTTATCTACCCAAACCCTCTGACCAAAAAGAAGAATTTTCTGAATAGTTAAAAATGGCCAACAGATTGAACGGCCAAATTTACCAAATTAAACAGGTATTCACATAGGAAATGTTTATGTTGGACCATGAGATGGTGGATCTACCCTGCATGTGTGCCACATGTAAAGAAATGCTAACATATACTAGGAGCCAACTATAAAGAAGAGACAGAAGTGTGTCTTTCAAGTAGATGATCGTGGAGATTTTGGCTGGCCAAAATAACTATAGAAAGGTAGAAAACTGGACATCTTATTACAGTTTGAGTCTGATGGAAGAACAAAATAAAGACAAATTATTTCTATGAAAAGTCTGCATAAGAATAAATCACCCGGCTAATGCAGCCACTGCAAGTGATGAAAACATTCCTACTGATCCATCACCAATCCCCTTCTTCCAACGATCAAGTGCATCAGCTTCTGCCTGGCTCCTAAATATTTGATAGAAGTAGTAATAAACACCCTGTATCAAAACAATGGTGAATAAATGAGTAAAGATCTTAATCTGAACTCAAAGTTTACCTAAAAATGTCAATGCAGTATTAGCTTTTTAGTGTAGCCCCCACAACAAGTCAACTTCAAATTTAAACATCAGGACAAACCTAATGAAAAACATCAGGGCAACAATCCAAGAAACTAAAAAAGGAAAATAACATAATAATGTGTGAAGGGAAAGCAGAAGCAGGTTCTACAGCATTACATTTGTGCTTCACTCATGTAAAAAACCTTCAAGTTGGTCATTCATTGAGGTGTGGATGACTGGGTTTGCAGTCTTTGCTTTTTTGTGTGTGTGCACTTGAGAGATCTGAAGAGAAAAACAATAACGGCAGTACCAGAAATAGAAACAGTCGCAAGAACACCTAGGTGTTTTCAGGTGAGAACAAGTGTTGCATGGGCTTAGACACAGTAGTCTGATTCCATAAACCCAAAAGGTAGGATTTGTGGACATGTCTCGCATAGATAACATTTTTTTGAACTCATTGAACTATATAAGCATAATAACTTAAGTAGTTAAACTACTTTTACAATTGACAAGTTAAACTCACAGCCTTTGCCTATTTGCCACATGGCCATGCTAGTTGTTTTTCATTGTTTTGTTAATTTCAATGTTAATTGGAAAAGATCCAATAAACAATGGGTCATAAGTTATGTGTAAGTTAGGAAAATACGAATGCTAGACTACACAATTGGACAGTTTAAATGGTTGGACAACTGTTATATAGAGGTGTTAAAAGTGAGGATTTGTAAATTTTCAGAGACAAATCTGGTGGGCATTTTGGTAAATCCACCTGAATCAAGCTTTAGTCTGTAGTTGGGTCCGACACACATTTTGGAGGGTTGGACACAAGTCAACTCACAAGTCCCCTCCAAAAGTGGGGTGTCATGCAACACTGGTGAGAACCCCTGATATGTCTTCTTTGACATACTAGCATCTGGAACATGTAATATGGATATCTTGTAATTTGACTTTTTATTAGGATCCAATGAAGCCTCATAGAGCCACCAAATATTAAAGCATAAGTAGTAGTCCACTTGCTAGAATAGCACAGTGCATTACTGAATCCTGGTTCAGGGTATAAGGATAAAACCCCATCAAGAAAAAGTGTAACAAACAGACCCAATTTAGGTGAGATCAAGATAGGTGTGGAAAATTAATTTCTAGAATATATAACTACAACAAATTGCATACAATTTGAATTGGAATAACATTTAGGCTGTATTTCATTTGGAAGAAAAGGTAGGGAAAGGAAGGGGAAGGTAGGGAAACCTATACAAAGTTTCCCTACCTTTTCTTTCAAACCAAACACAGCCTTAAGTTTGCCGAGGAGCACATATAAATGATCTGATGCCTCTTGGACCAAAAAAAAATGAAACTACCTAGAGCGGTGGATGATTTGTAAGGTATATCTTTTTAAATTCTGGATAGTTACGGGAACATTAGTATAGAATATGATACTTCATCAATCTTTCAAGGATCCATGCACCTATAACTCTTTAATCATAGAACTTTGCACACATTAGTCGGTTTATTCATGGGTTCTCCTTTATGAGTATGGACTCTGACTACTCTGTAATTGTTTACTTCACAGACACTAGTTAGACCTCAGAAAGGTACCAAAACATGAGTTACGCACCAAATCTATTTGATCCAATTAAAAGAAATGGATTAGCAGTTTGAGAATCTTGAACCATGATCAAAGCAATATAAAGTATTGAAATTCTTCTAAGCTTTCTTTTCTTTAACGTGTCCCGGTGTACTCTGAAATACGCCAAAGGGGCACGCAAAGGCTAAACAGGAAAAAACATGATCAGAAGAACCAGTAGTTGAAACACCAACAGGGTAGTGAAATGAGCGTACCTGCGATGCAGCAGTACCCACCAACGACGGCGTCAAGCCTCCATATAACCGCCCCCATCCTTCGTGCTTAACTACCTGCAACCCGTTAAACGAATAAATACAGGAAAAGAAATTCCTCAACAACCTTACTAGACTTTTCCAACTTCAATTTGTATTATTTAAAGGAAAATACTAAAAGAAAGAAAGGAAGGAAACCTGACACATTTGTCCTATGGTTCCAAGTTTCCTGCTACTCTTCTTGGGATCACGCTCTGTCTGTTGACGAGTATTGACCTACATCCATAAACCCATACACTAGTTAAAAGTTAAAACCATACTAAGCAAATGGGAAAAAGATACACACTTGAGAAATTGGTCCCTCCAAAACAGAAATAGAATGGAAAAATTACAGTTTGCAGAGGATATGTGATAAGTTGAGCGATGATTCCTCCTCCAGCACCAGCCAATCCATTGATCAAAGCGTCTGACATGTATTCTTAATTTTAGAGAAAAAAAAAAAACTCGATCTGTAAAGCAAAAACTTTGGACTAAATTCACAAACAAACCAATGAGAAAAGAAAACAGCAAGTACAGACTAGAGAGAGAGAAAGAGAGAGAATATCTATGAGGTTGGTCGTTAGCCGTAAGCGGCCCAATTTAATGTCGTTCGCTATCAGAGCTCAATACTTCCGGTGGATCGGTTCGGACCCGTTTAGGACGTTGATGAATTGCTCGCTCAGACAGTCAGACCTAACTCCAGGACGAAATTGCCCTTTGCATTATTAAAAATATCGAAACTCTATCCTTTTTTTATACGTAAAAGAAACAAGGGGTAATAGCATATAAATGCAACTTTTGGGGTTTAATATTAATAAAAGTAATATATTTAAAAATAGGTTAACTTTTTAAAAATAATATAAAGGGCAAAAGCATTGTTCATTTTCTTCTTCTTGTCATTTGTTCATTGCCTGTCGCCGCCCGCCACCGTCGTCCACTATTGCCTGCCACCACCTCCGCCTCTACCTCCGGCAGTATTGCCGGAGGTGGCGGCAGCGGCTGGTGGTTTCTCTGTCCAATGCAGCCACCTCCGCCCACCTCTGGCTCCAGCTCCGGCAACGTTGCCAAAGATGGTGGAGACAGACGTGGCGGTGGCGGCGGGTAGAGGAATGACCACCAGCGTCGCTGCCGCCACCTCCAACATCGTTGCCGGAGGCGGTAGCGGGCAGTAGCGGACGACGGTGGCGGGTGGTGGCGAACAGTGAACAAATGACAAGAAGAAGAAGATGACCAGTGTTTTTGCCCTTTACTGATATTATTTTTAAAAAGTTAACATATTTTTGAATTTTTTTAAATATATTACTTTTATTGATATTAAACCCCAAAAGAACCCAAGAAAAAAACACTAACAAAGTCAAGACAGACAACCACCATACATGCACGCCTGCTCCACCAAACTAGTTGGGTGTTTGGCACCGGTGCGTTTAAAATCACATTTAGCAATGATGTTTTTTAGAAAAATATTTTGCATTATTTATCAGAACACTTTACTTAAACTTATCTTTTAGTTTACAACCTATTTATTACTTAATTGACCTTTCATTAAGAACTATTTGCTTTGCCATCTTAAAATAGTAACATGATCACCTAAACTAAGTGGAAAATGTTCAAGGGTATGGATCCATGACATTGTTCATTATCTCCCACTTCTGCTCTTTAAACTAACTCAACTCCTTTGTTCAGAGAGATACTAAGCCCATAAGGACTTCAATTTTCGACTGCGAATTGGAAAGATACAGCGTAGGAAGGCGAAAAACAGAACTAAGTAATTTGAATGTTCCAAAATCTAGCAAGATGAAATTATTGTAGATTTATTTGAAACTTTAAACAGGTCCAAGAATCCAAAGATCGATACCGAAGAAAGATCCAAGAAATCACAAAGATGATGCCTCCAAACCTGATCTCTGAAGACCGAGGAACTTCTCCATTCTCTTTTTAGCATTGCAAAGGCCTTGGAAGGGAAGACCTCTGACCAATACACAGATGGTGCCTTCTATAATTGATGAGGGGTAATTTGGTCATCCGAATTACATCACGACACGTGGCTTTCAAGTGACACCTCAGCGCTAAGTAAGTGAACCAGCTCAGCAAGTCGGTCTAAAACACCTTGCCCAGGCCGACCTCTACCACCTCGGGCGAGCTAATGGGTTTTTCAACTTATAGTGACTTGCCTCAGAGATTGGTCGAGCTATAAGAACCTAAGGCAATCTGCCAGGCGAGCCCGCAAACTTGTTTCGGAGATACGTAACCAGCCCAAGATCTCTGGAGCATTAATCCATCAACTGTTAGACTGGCCTACTGCATCGCATGCATCAGATTTATTTGGACGGACCATAACCCCTGTGCAGATTTCGTAACCAATGTAATAACTCACCCGACCAAGCGGAAACGGCTCCACGAGAACATAAGACCCGTTGTAAGAAGGCTCAAACCACTCACACCTATATAAAGTCTTCATTCCTACCAAAGAAGGTATGCGCGTTTACAAATTTTCAAATTCTCTTATCTTCTAAAGAATTCTCAAAAATATTCTCTAACTTAAGCATCAGAGTGTCCACTCCAGATAAAGACAACCCGAACACTCTAACCATCTCTCTTGCAGTACAGAACAGTTTATCCATCTACAACTCGGCCCTGACCATGTATCATCAGAATTAGTGTCCAAGTCACCTAACACGTGAAAACAGCCATATCGCACTACATCAATAATGAATGGTGGAATAGCAGCATTGTACTTTGTAATGTGGGGGAATGGCCTTAAGTCGTGTGGACCTCTTAGAGCCATAGTGGCTGAGTATGCGGGTGTTTTTCTCGGAGCACCATTCTCTTTGGAGTTGTCATAATATTCAGAGATTGTATACGTTCTTCTCATCTCCAAGGCACTTAACAGTAGCTGGAGGATGATGCATAATCATCATGGAAATTGTGTACAAAATGAACTTTTCATTACCAGGATTCTTGATTTGCTTTATAATTTTGGGATTTGGAATCTTTTGAAGCCACCTCTTTGGAACGTATAAGAAAGATTCTGTTTCAGCCATCAGATATACCAGATGGAAATTTTGAGAATAAAATGCATATGTCGCCACTTCTAATGTAACTTGAATGGGATGACTAAAAATAGGAGCACAACTGTCAAAAAAATTTCCCCATCCTTCAGTTTTATTAGAACTGGGAGCTGAGCTGATATCTTTTCTTGTTAGGTTTTAAAACATTGATCGGTGTTCCTTCGTCCTTTCAATTTCACAATTAAAGGGAGTCATGGATTGGTGTTTTATTAGGACTATGATTTTGTTGATTTTCCAAGCGGAGGAGAATGAAAATCCATGGATGGTCTTGTTGAAGCGGCTGCGGGCACAGTAGTTGCAGACTCTCCGGGGCAGCTGCTCTAATCAGAATGTCTCGAATAGTTGTGGTGGACAACATAACCCATGATGGATCCACCAACAAAGATCCAATCTTTCAGATACAAAGGTGTAGTCCCTCAATCCAACGGTCGTTGGGGTGCTCAAATTGGCTTGGCACCTTCGACTTCAAAGAAACTAATGCCCGCTCAAGGTAGAAGATAATGAATATTTTTTTCTTGGGTGGTTTTGACATTTTTAAGAGTTTTAAGTGACACATGTCATTACATGATCAGATAATTAATGGATTGTTAACGATAAAGACCTATTAGATTCATTTTGAAAGTTTGGGGTACTACAGAGACACGTTTTAAGTTTGGGGGCTAACTTAAGACAACCCCTAAAATCCAAGGAATTGATCAAGAATTTTTCCTTCTCAAAAAAACAGGTGAAACAAAATACTTATAAATTGGGGCCCACTTGTGAAACAGAATGCTCGTGAAACACACCGGTGTCGAGCACCATCTACATCATTAACAAAACATTTAGCTAACCGAATTAGAGAAAGGGCAGCCTGATTACTAGTTCTAGTTCTAGGCACATGCCTAAATTTAACAATTGAAAAACATTGTTTCAAATAGTTTATCTTGTCTATATCCAAACACTAGCATCCCACTGATTGGAAAAAAATCATAACTGAGATAGTAAATAACAGTGTTTTCAACCCGTCATTAACCCAGTTGGTCAAATCATTCAAACCGTCGCTCAGCCAAGATTCCGGGTCCGAAATATATGAATAAATAAATATATTATATATTACATATAATAATAGAAAATTTGGTTAATTCAGTTAACAGAATTTCTAATTTTAAAAATCGAAACCGAAAACTGAATTAATCAAAAACCAAATTAACCAAACTGCAAAAAAAAAAAAACGAAACTGAAATTTTCAGTTCGTCTTTTTAAGTTTTAACCGAATAGTGTTCACCCCTATTTGAAACCAACAGAATTTTTTCAGATTTTCATAAATAATTAAGATAGACATTCCCTAAACACATTTTTTTTCAGCCAAGTTCACCAAGTGAAAATTTCAAATTAATATATACACCTGCAATGCATTTAAAAGATTCATGTTTTGATATATATAGAGGAGTAGAAATGAAAAAGTCCTTCAATAATAAAATGTTCAGAACTTCATAATAGTGAGTAAAGCATTAGATAGCATGAGGGAGTACTTAGAGGCTCAGAAGAAATTCTTAAATGGTGATAAAAGGAAGGAAAAAGAGATTACGTGGATTGTATTAGAAAGAGGCCACCCAATCCCAACCCGGATGAAATTAAGATAAATTTCGATGCCTCGAGTAGGGAGAATGGAAATTGTACCTTCGGATGTATAGCAAGAAATTTCAAGGGAGACATTTTGAAATGGATTCAATGAGTCAATGGGCCTTAAGGCCCATAAACTTGTAAAATTGCCTTGGGCTTTCATCTTGAGTCAATGGGCCCAGGCTGTTGTCCCAGCCCTAAAGCCCATCCCACTTTCTTAATCATATCCACAGTTGTACGTCTAAAAGAAGTCAAATCTTAACCAAATTTCTTTCGACATTAGATTCTCATTCTATTAGGAATCAGAAGAAAAGCAGGAAAGCAATGAAACGGCGTTAGACATCTGTTTTTTTATTTATTTGGGATTATGGTGATGGTGTTCTTGGTGATAGAGGAGTCTCGGAAACTCCACAATTGGGTTGACACTCCAACGCTCGAGTACAAACACAAATAATTAGAAAGAAAGAAAGTAAAATTGTTTGTTTACACTTTACAAAGCATCTTAGCATGGGTGGTGGTAGAGGTATTGAATTCGACCCATCTCTTCCTTTCCGTTTTCTGCAACTTCTGCGTTTCCGATTGCAAATAACGAGAATGTGACAGAGAATGCAGAAGACAGTGACGTTGAGTTTATTCTTGTGCTGGGCATCGGCACAAGTAAGAATGTGGACTATGCTCCATCGCATGATAGGAATGGCTGTGCGTATTATGTGGTTGCATGGGTTGAACCCGATGATAACTCGAGTAGAATGAGAAACTGAATGAGAAACTCTTATTCTGTTCTTCTTATTTCGTCCTTTGCAGGGGTTGAGAAATATATATACTTATAATACAAATATCTTCTAATTATACATAGATTCCGGTTCTACCTCTCCTAGTTACATACAACTTAGGATGAGATTTATCCCTGAATTCAAGGGATATCCCCTAGTTTTACAGCTCGCGCCAATATTCCCCCTCACGTTGGTGCGTACAGATCTTGGATGCCCAACTTGCCAAGTGAGCTGTAGAAGTTTTTATTGGATACAGCCTTTGTAAGTATATCTGCCAACTGGTCTTCAGATTTGACAAAGGGAAATCTAATGGTTTTGTCTTCGATTTTTTGTTTGATGAAATGTCAGTCCACCTCCACATGCTTTGTTCGATCATGTTGGACGGGATTCTGAGAGATGTCAATGGCAGCCTTGTTGTCGCAGAATAGGTCCATCGCAGAGGTTGGGGGAAAACCAATTTCAGTCATCAATCTTCTCAGCTAGAGTAGCTCGCACAGCCCTTTAGCCATTCCTCAAACTCAGCTTCAGCACTTGATAGGGCCATGACCTTCTGTTTCTTACTCCTCCATGTGACCAGATTTCCTCCGATGAATGTAAAGTACCCCGATGTGGATTTTCTATCTGAGACATTTCCGGCCCAGTCTGCATCTGTGTACCCTTCTATCTTCAGATGATCATTTTTTGAGAACATGAGTCCTTTTCCGGGTGAGGACTTCAAGTATCGAAGAATCCGCATTACAACATTCATGTGATCTTCGCTTGGGCAGTGCATGAACTGACTCACTACGCTGACGGCGTAGGCGATGTCTGGGCGAGTATGGGAAAGGCAAATGGGTTTACCCACCAGCCTTTGGTATCTCTCCTTATTGGTAGGTACTTGGTCTGGGTATTCTCCAAGTCTATGGTTCTGAATGATAGGTGTGTCTGCCGGTTTGCACTCCAACTGTCCTACTTCGAAGAGTAAGTCCAAGGTGTACTTCCGTTGGGACAGAAATATGTCTTCCTTTGATCTAGCAACTTCAATCCCTAGAAAGTACTTTAGCCCACCTAAGTTCTTCATCTCAAACTCGGATGCCAATTGCTTTTGCAGTGTTGCTATTTCTTCCGAATTCCCTGTGATAATCATGTCATCCACGTATATTATTAGGGCTATCACCTTTCCTCGTTGGTGCTTTAAGAATAGTGTATGATCTGAATTGCTTTGYTGGAAGCCATATTTTTTCATCGCAAGACTGAACCTCCCAAACCATGCCCGTGGAGATTGCTTTAGTCCATATAGTGCTCGTTGTAGCTTACACACAACTTGGTTCTTGGAGTTCGCTGTATAACCAGGTGGGATGTCCATGTATACATCCTCTTCAAGATCACCATGGAGGAAGGCATTCTTCACATCGAACTGGTGTAGTGGCCAATCAAGATTTACGGCAAGAGATAATAAGACTCTGATCATATTCAGCTTGGCTACTGGAGAGAAAGTCTCTTGATAATCTACGCCCTGTGTCTGGGTATATCCTTTTGCGACCAGCCTTGCTTTGTATCTCTCGACTGCCCCGTCTGCATTGTATTTGACGAAAAATACCCATTTACACTCTACTGGTCTTTTCCCTTCAGGCAAGGTGACTAGAGTCCATGTCTTGTTCTTCAATAGTGCCTCCATTTCTTCTTGTATGGCCCGAGTCTATTTTGGGTTTGTCAAAGCTTCTTGGACACTGGTGGGAATATGATTAGAGGACAATTCTTGCACAAATGATTTTAGAGGTTTGGTGAGTCTCTTCGTTGATACATAGTTGGCAATTGGATACTTTGTCCTCCTATCCTCAACATCTGGAGAATATCTGTTTGGCGGTTTGCCACGATTATGCCTRAAAGGTAAGGTGTAGCCAGCCAAAGTATCGTTAGARCTTGAAGGAGTGGTAGGGGAGGTTACCTCAGGGATGCTTTCACGTGCTTCCGGGATATCCTCAGGAGGTGGGCTTTCCAGTACTGGCGAGGTTGGGGTCTCTACTTCTTCTACTGGTAGAGGCGATGCTGACGTTGAGGTTTCTGTAGATACTTCTGGTGTAGTCTCTGTAGGTGCCTTACCGGTTGCTTCATGGACCACCATTTCCGTTGAAGCACTCGTATTCGGCCAGTCGGGTAAAAACCAGTTTTGTTCTTCACTCTGACTCTCCCCCTGAAGAGAAGAATTGGTTGTAGATCGAGAGTAGAAGGTTTCGGATTCCAGAAAGGTGACATCCATGGTAACATAGGTACGGTGGGTGACTGGGTCATAACATCGGTACCCTTTCTGGTGTAGCGCATACCCCAAGAATATAYATCGAGCTGCCCGTGGATCCAGTTTTGTACGTTGATTTGGATGTAGATGCATGAACGCCACACAGCCAAAAACTCGAGGTAGAATCATCAAAACAGAGGGCAATGAGACATGAGATGAAAGAGCTTGTAATGGTATTTTAAACTGTAAGACCCGTGAGGGCATTCGATTAAGGAGGTGCACGGCGGTAGCAACAACATCAGCCCAATGTCGGTTAGGTACATGTGCTCCAAGTAACAAGGCGCGGGCAATTTCGAGTATGTGTCGGTTCTTCCTTTCTGCAATGCCATTCTGCTGTGGAGTTTGGGGGCATGAAGTCTCATGAAGTAATCCATGGACCCGAAAATAATCTTGGAACTGTTGATTCATGTATTCCCCGCCGTTATCAGACCGGAGTACCTGAATCTGTGATTTGAACTGAGTCTTCACCATTATATGGAAGGATTGAAAGACAGTCAGCACTTCATCTTTATGTTTCAGCAGATATAACCATGTCATGCAAGTGCAATCATCAACAAAGATTACAAACCATCGGAATCCAGAGACTGTAGTCACCGGGGATGGCCCCCACACGTTCGAGTGAATCAAAGCAAATGGAACTTGACTTTTATTCATACTTAAGGGATAGATTGTTCTATGACTCTTAGTTAGGATGCAAGTGTTACATTGAAAAACATGCGACTGTATATCTGAAAATAACTCCGGAAATAAATGTCTCATATAACTGAATGATGTATGTCCTAACCGACGATGCCAAATCCAAATCTGTTGTTCCTTGGTGTTACCTTGATGATGTGTATGATGCGCTTGACCCGTGCTAAGATCATCCATGTAGTAGAGCCCCCCTCGCCTAGTACCACGCCCAATTATCTCCTTGGTGAGAATATCCTGAAGAAGATAGAAAGTGGGATAAATGAGCACAACACAATTCAGATCAGAGGACATTTGACTAACAGATAGTAATTTGTGGGAGAGCGAGGGAACAAGCAAGGTGTTTTTCAAGGATATAGCAGGTGACAAGGTCACAGTGCCTGCTCCTGTGACTTGAGAGATTGCCTCATTGGCATTAGCAATTGTAGTCCGTCTTGGTGGTGAAGTCTTTGTAAAATCAGTAGCATCATAGGTCATGTGGTCAGTGGCTCCTGAGTCAAGTATCCATGCCTTGTTGTCAATGGTCTTGTTGGTAAGATTGTTACTTGAATCCGAGAGGTGAACTTCTCCCTGTAGTGCGAATGAGAGTTGAGATTCTGTTGTAATTGTTGCAGCCTTACCACTAGTTTCAGCCTTGTCTTGGCGTTTCCGAGCTTGGAGTTCATGCCACCAGTCGGGATAGCCATGTAGCTTAAATCAGTTCTCCCGGGTATGCTTTGAGTTGCCACAATGAGAGCATTTAGTACCACCAGAAGATGCTCGAGATTTAGAGGACGTACCAGATTTTTCGCTGCTTGCAGGCAGAGAGCTCGTTGAAGAGGGCGTAGGTTGCCCAGTCTTAACACCTTTAGAGGTCAAAACTGCTCCTGGAGTTTCAATATGGTTGCCGGTTATCATGACCCTTTGTTGGATAGCTTCTCTTCGAACATGTGTGTAAGCCTGTTCATAGCAGCGGTCACCTCCCGATGACCAAGATTTCGCGGCGACCAGGATTTGCGGCGGTGATAGCAGCGGTCCCCTCCCGGCGACCAAGTTTTCACAGCGATCAGAACCTGCGGCGGTGATAGCAGTGGTCACCTCCCGGCGATCGAGTTTTCGCAGCGATCACGACCTGCAGTGGAGATAGCAGCGGTCGCCTCCCGGCGACCAAGATTTCGCAGCAGTCAGAACCTGCAGTGGGGATAGCAGCGGTCACCTCCGATGACCAAGATTTCGCAGCGACAGGGATTTGCAGCGGTAATAGCAACGGATGGAGCCTCTGTTGGCGACCAAGATTTCGCAGCGATCATATCGTCGAGTTTATCATGGATCGGTATGCTCTGATACCATGATAATTTGAGTAGAATGAGAAACTGAATGATAAACTCTTCCTCTGTTCTTCTTATTTCGTCCTTTGCAGGAGTTGAGAAATATATATACTCATAATACAAACATCTCCTAATTATACATAGATTCTGGTTCTACCTCTCCTAGTTACATACAACTTAGGATGAGATTTATCCCTGAATTCAAAGGATATCCCCTAGTTTTACAGCTCACGCCAATACCCAACAGGAGATGCAGGAATACTCCTAACGTCGTTGGCAACCTAGACCCTTGCTGGAGCCGAACATTCAGCATTCGCATCAACAAACCCATTGCCTCTTCTTCCTTGAAATTGGAGGTCCTTAGGGTCGGTTTTCTCGGCGATGTTGGAAGTTCCAACGATGAGATGATAATGGGCAGAGCACGAATTCCGTTGGCTATAGGGTCCTCAACCCCGGTACGATATGCAGTGGAGCTTGTGAGGTTTGACGGGTGTGGTTGCATGTATGAAGGACGGATTGAAGTGATGCTGTCACTGAATAAGAGGAAGAAGAAGAGATACGACTACTTTAACAGTAACGCTTAATCGCAGTTTTGTTATTTCTCTTCTTCTTCTTCTAATTATTATTATTATTATATGAAGCCAAGGTATTTTTACAAATCTAAGAAGGCTAGTAGACTTCAAACAAAACAAATGGCTATCGACGGGAGTTCGGTTATTATTTTTATTTTTACTTGGAATTCTTGAAAAATCTGCAGAAGCCGGAAAGGGGTTATCTCGTGGCGATGATAGAAGAAACACAGGTTCGTGAAAAAAAAATCAAAGAACAGAATGAATTCGTTCCTGTATTTTTACTCTTTTCTGTTACTGTTCCGTGAAAAATTACTGAGAACTTCCTTTTTTCCTTTTATTGTTTTACAAGCAGTAGTGGTGAAAGCTCCATTAAAATGGCTGGAATGCCCTGAACTTGGTCTGAACTGTGAAGAAGAGCAGAGGAGCGTGGGATAAGTTGACTGCACTCCACCTCATAATTCTGAATTCAAATGCAGACCTATATAACATCCATACCTGCTTTTGAATCGGCATCAATTCCGATCTGACACCTACCCCAATTGCCTCATGGAGCTAAGATTTCTAAGAATAAACTGGAATTTTTTACAAACAAAGGTGATGAAAAGCAACTTGTATGTTATTTTTCTTTTTTTCCTGTTAAAAAGCCCCAAGGTTTATGAAGGATAAGAACGAAGGAAATGTTTGTGTGAAGGGTGGACAATGGACGTATGCCTTAGGGTGATCTTACGAGAGCGGATTAGCTGAATACAAAAACATATACACCCGGCTAAACTATCTATCACGGTTGAACACGCCAGTATCCAGTATAGCTGAGTCCCAGATGGAATCCACTGGCATATTCAACATAACATAAGTAGTTCAGCCGGGTGTGTATGATTTTGTCTCGAGTTCGTGGGGACTGTAATCTTACAGTCAAATAAAAAAATTGGTTTCTCCGGTGTCATTCTCAAGGGATGAACGATGAGAGATTATTCCGAGTGAGAAACTGTTCTTGCAACTATAAGGGAAGGTATGGCAATTTTATGGGAGTTTTTTAGAGTTTGGAACTTGTTTGAACTTTGTCCTTAGGATACCCGATATCTATCAAAATGCCCTATGAAATTTTAAAAAGCATTTAATTCCTTACCAGTTTTGTGGTTCATAATAAGTTTTTATGATATTATAGTCAAACCCTAGTAAATATATATTTTACATGTTTTATAAAGTAGAAAAGGATTAAGAGAGGAGTTAAATCTAGGAATGGGCAATAGGGCAGGTTCGGGGTGGTATACCCTTCCCTGTCCCTGTCCATAGTCAAGATGCTTTGCCCCACTTTGGGGGCAAGGAATTCTTGAATTTTTTTCACTCCAAGTCAACTATTTAAAAAGATGAGTATTTTATAAATAGGATTATAAGAATTTATGAATATTTTATAAATTGAATTATGATAATTTAGGGTACGTTAGAAATGGAATTATGGGATAAGAATTTAGGATAAACTTAAAGATATTTTAAAAATTAATATTAAATTTAGAGATATTTTATAAATGTATCATTGGCTTTAAGGAATTATATGCAAACCCAATCCCTTCCTGTGTTCAGGGCAAAAATATTTTCCCCACACTGTTCAGAGTAGGGCGGAGCCCTGATTTTATGAGAAAAATTATCATCCCTAATTAATTCTTTCTCCTTCCCATTATAGACATCTACACCACTTGCTTGCCAAGCCATTTTTTTATTAAGGACATAACAGTTCACTTGTGTGATGGGTTTAATGGGTTTCGGAAATTTGGAGGAAAAACAAATGGGTTTGAGATCAAAGGTGATGGGTTTGGGAATGAAAAAGGCAATCCATCCATAAGAGGCACTATATTGGATCAATGAATGTTCACGGTGAGGGGTCTTTTAGGCTTTAGCTACAAAGAAGCTGAAAATCATAAGAAGATTAAAGAAAGATAGATGGGCAGAGAGAGAGAAACTGTTATCATTAACGATCATCACCGGTAATTTCAAATCAAAAAAATGATTTTTCTTTTTAATTTCTAACCTTAATCTCGTTAGTGGATCATTAACTTTATGTGGACTTGGACATAAATCAGTAGTTCCTCAATCCACTTTTTTGAAGAAAATATGATAGCAGAATCCTTTTCTTTTGAAATAAAAGAAAAAAATGAGCGATAAGACTGTATTTGATTTGGTAGAAAATAGGAGATCAACAGAAAGTTGAGGGAGAGAAGGAATTTGTTCAAGAGAGAGGACTCAGAAATATGATGTGGTGTCGTCAAGGCAATACTGCCATTATGCACGACGAGCGAACCATGAAGCTATCGTCATTGTCCTCCATAGAAATAGAAAGATAAGAAAATAAGGAAAAAAAGAAAGAAAAAACTTCTTACTTGAACCAAATACATCATCAACCAACAATTAATTGATGAACCCCATATGCCCCTTCCAGGAGTGATTTGAGAATGAAGAACCTGTTAAAGAATTTGATGATCATGGCGTCCTATTTATATACTGATTAAAATTTGTCTTCTCTTTGTTTCTTTCAGACCAATTAATTAGTCGTCTCTGCCTTGCTGGCCAAGCCATGAATATTATACTTGAAATTAATTTCAAAAAGTTGTTGAGAAAGAACTATAAAAACAAAATAAGAGTCGGTGGAAACAATTCTATACTTGTAGTGGATTGGGTTGGGTCAAATCTGTCGTCTGATTTATAAAGCAAGCTCAAAGGATAAACATGAGTGCTTCGTGGAAGCTCTCGTTATTTTTTGTAATGTTGGCTGTTCAATAAAGGTCTACATCCAATACCATGGGCCTAATGTGAATCCTATGGGATATATACCATGAGTTCGGTTCAGTCACAATCTCCATCACTTCTGCTCTTAGGGTCTATGCTCAAATCTTTAGGCTGTATTTGGTTTGATAGAGTCTATGAAAAAACAAACAAAAGCTAAAGGGAAGATTGATTTTGAGACCGTTTGACAGGGCTTTCCCATGGTAGCTTTTGGCCTTACAAGATAGATTTTACGGAAGAGCATATAAACAACAATGTCTGGTAAAAATCTTTTAACTGTTTTTCATGATTCAGCTAACGATTTATTTGGAGCTGAAGCTTTGGTTGAGCTGTTTTAATCGGGATGCTTTGGAAAAGTTTCAATGACACCCCCAGCTGAAGTACAGCAAATTTTGGCTTTCTGCTCACAAAGCCAATAGCTTCCATGGAAAGGCCCTATCAAATGGGCACTAAAAAAAGGAAGCTTCTTTTAGTCTCTTCTTGAAAATAGTTAAAGCAAAGCTTCAAACCCCCCAAATGGGTCTCTTATAAACCTATCCTAGCAATTTCACAAGCCGCATAAAAATATATATGAGAGAAAGTTTAGTTCAAAACTCCTATTCACACCATGTTTAATTAAAAATTAAAAGAAAAAGCTTCAACCTTATTTGGCAAATAAATACAAAGGTGGGAATAGGGACACTGATGCTGATGGAAAATGAGATTGAACATGTGACCAAGCAAGAGGGAATTAAATGTTAAACAAGAATGGTAGAGTATCAAATTTTAATTTAATAGGAGATGGAAAGATGTTAAATAAGAGAATTTAATAAACTATCTTAAAGATATAAAGCGTAGATTAAAATTTAGAAGAATAATTTATTATGGCATTATGAGCTAAGCATAATTGGAGAATTTAACTTAACATTTGTTTTGAAAAAGAAGAAATAGGACATAACTAATTGCATCTTGCCACTTTTGTTTTTTTTCAATTAACAAAATATTTGGACTTGTACTCTCAGAAAGTGCTTTAGATCGGCTAGGCTCAGGCTGCTATTTTGGTACAGTGAAGACAAGATAGGTTGGGAGTATCTCCACCTTCAGAACCCCTCTTGTTTATCACTTATTGTGAGATAATTCCTATGTAGCCAAGTAGTCATCACCCCATGATCTTTACAGAGCTGATACGGTGAGAGAGGGCTAAGCTTTCCATGATTAATTAGCAAGAGACTCAATATATTCCTAGCTAGCTTTTCTTCTTCATTCTTTGATTAATCTATAGGTATACAACCTGGCTTAAACATTTATTCTCTTCAAAGTGCAAACAAGCTAAGCTGTTAAGGTTAGTGGATAAGTGGTTCTCAATAATATGAACATGGATCTGCTGTACATATATAACACTAAACCTAGGGGGTGCAACTTGGGTTGGCCCTAGTTAGAATTTTACACTGCTTTGGGCCGGGTCCATGATCAAGTTCTGACAAAACCCAACCCAAGCCCCATCCAAGTTGCACCCTAACTACACCCCATGAATGACAATTTACAAGCAGGGGAGATGTTCATGATGTGTAGCCCGCTGTAGTGTATTATGCATAGTGTGCACATAGCATTTTGTGCACAACAGATTTGGACTTCAGTGACAAGGGATTGAGTCCTGCCTTAATCCCCAACCCCTCAGGCCTTACCCCAGGTGTGCTAACCTAATAATCAAAAAGTAAAAAAAGACATTAGGCTCCATTTATTTGCAGTACAAATCTGAATCGCATACATATTTTGCATTTTATTCAATATTAAATTTGTTTGTAAGTTTGATTTGTACTCTTACTTGATACAAAATTTGTACTTATTTTCTCATTTTACACTTAATGACAGTGAAAATTTTGCATCTAAAAAATTGATGCAAATTTTACACCATTTTCCTTCTACCTTAATTCTCTCATATAGACCTATTCATGGGCTAGGTAGTTCGACGGGCTGGTCTAGCCCGGCCCGACCCCCAGACGACTTGTGCATGGATTTTAACCCACGGGCTTGACCTCGGGCCTAAAAGCCCGAGCCCGACTATTTTACAGGCCGGGCTCGGGATTTGTCACAAAAGCCCAGCCCGACATTTGTAACTTCTTCTAAACCCTAGCCGAATAACCCTTTCCTATTCCCCCTTTTCATCTTCTATCTTCTCTCCTCACTCTCACTCTCAAGAACCGGCGTGAACCCAGATAGGCAGCCACTGTTCTCAGTCTTAGAGGCGACAGGCGAGCTCAAGCACCAACGAACTCAGGCACCAGTCATCTCTCTCTTCGGTGGTGAGTCTTCTCTCTCTCCCTCTCTCGCCACCAGTCCTCTCTCTCTCTCTCTCTCTCTCTCTCTCGTCTCACTCACTGTCGCATATTCTCAGGAACTAGCGAACTCAAGCACCGATGCCAGCCACACCACCAGTGAACTTAGTCGCCCCTCTCTCTGGCTGTGAGTCTTGCATTTCTCAACTTTGTACAAATCATGCATTTCAAACTCTATTACTTTGTAGTTTGTAGTATGTACAAGTCACACATTTCTCAACTCTATACAAGCCTTGTCAGGCTTTGGGCTTTTTATGAGGGTTGGGCTTGGGCCCAAGATGTAGGCCCATTGGTCGGGCTGAGCTCGGGCTTGGGTCTGAAGAAATCCTATTAATGAAGAGCAAAATCCCGGCTTGAGCCTAGCCCGACCCAGCCCATGAACAGGTCTACTCTCGTATAAAGTGGGGACATCATCTTGCTTCTATTGGGCTTGGATTTGCTCACAAAATATATATATATATATATATATATATATATATATATATATATATATATATATATATATATATATATATATATCCAACACATTCCAACATGATCTATATCCACACATTGCACACATGGTGGGTCTCAGGGGTCCCAGTCTTATGGTGAGATGTGTGGTCATGGATCATGTTGGTAGCATGTTGGGATAATTTTTGTTGTGAACAAATCCCAACTCCCTCCTATCTCCATTCTTCTTTCATGTAAAGGAACCACTTAACTTTACTTCTTATGTTACTTCTCACAAACAAATAACATAGTCAAATTCCAAGCAAAAGTAAGTCCGAATTATATCAGTGCAAAGGGAGACCACTCTTCTTACCCTTTTACGCATTTATACAAATGCAAATGAAATTAATAATGCAAACAAACAAACTGAGCCTTAATGTTCTTTTTAATATTTTATGTTAAGATCATTGAGCTTTCACAACTAAATATAATAATCCACCAACTTCAATCCAATTTAATCTTCTAACAACCCATTTACACCCCATAAAATGCAGTTGTGTTTGTCCTAGGTAGGGGTGCCAATGGATCGGTTTTGGATTGAGCCCTGTCCAAACCAAAATTAATTTGGATGGACCAACAAGATAATATTGAATTGGACCAGTCCAGATTTGATGGTCCAAAATATTTATTAGATTGGATTGGACCTGGTCCACCCATAATGAATTTATATTGGATTGGGTTGGATTAAGTCAATATCTGGTCCATTGATAGAAGATAAGAATATAGGTGTCAATGGACCAGGTTTGGGTTAGAACCAACCTAAATTAAAACAATGTAAATAGACTGGATGGTCCAGGCATTGAATTGAACTGGTCCAAAATTGTCCATAATATTCATTGGATTGGATTGGATTGGATTTGACCTGGTCCATTTGTAATGGACTGACATTGGACTGGATCAGATTGGACCAAATCCAGTCCAATTGACACCCCTACTCTTAGGCTCCTAGGCTGCCAAGGAGTTTTGCTCAATTCAAACCTTCCATCATGCAATATTGGACAAGTTTCTAAAGCAAGTAAAAAAATTTTAATACATATGGTAAACTTTGAGAATTAAACTCTTGAGAAAAGATATCCATGCATGTGTAATGTATTAAAACTTTTTTACTTGCTTTAAAAACTAGTCCAATGCATAATGGAATGCTTTTCTATTTTAAATTTGAAATGTATTTGCATTTTGCACACAACCAATTTGCTTACATTTAGTGTGTCTGTTTTGTTATGTGGGCATTTCGTGATAGGCGTTTATCAAAATGCTGCCATATCATCACCAAATCATTATTTTTCCCATCATATTTATCCGTATATATTGATATTCACAAAAGTGGGTTTTGATTTATATACGCACCAACCGTTGGGGGAAGCATTAAAATGTTGAACGTTTATTCACTCTTTCACTGATGTGGTGCCTAGTTGCCCATAAACGGTTTAAAGTACTTTTCTCAGTTTTGAAGACAAATCAAATTCAAATGTTTATTTAATAAACGGAAGCTATGCCAAACACATACTTAGCCAATGACCCAAATTGCTGAGATGGTCACTTGGCACCTATCCAAATAGGAGGCTTGAAATCAAATCCACGAAACTGCAGGCTTTGAGGCTCTCCACCTCTCCACATGGTATGGCAAGTGAGCCTTGTATGTACACCCTACTTTGTCCCACCTCCCATCCTCTTCTGTATTTTATATATAATGCCAAAAAATGAAAAATCTGCTTACATTTGTTCTAATTAAGTGATGATGTTCATGTATTGAACTTGCCTCACCAACCATAATGAATCATGGAAACACTTTTTCAAGCATAAAAAAAGAAGGCAATGTTGAGTCCTGATGATGCCAAACTTTGAGTTGAGGGCAGTGAA